TAACCCGTCTGCTCGTCTGCCCCCTCTAATAAAAAATAAAATACTCGGCTCCTATTGCTTGCTAAAAGGGCTATTTAATTTTAACGATTTCAAATCAAACCAGTAGTTCCTAAGACTACCCCGAAAATACAAACTCACAAACTTTCCCTCTTTACAATATTAGTATAGATGGATCGCCATCGTAAGAGAGACATTATTAAGTCGCTTTACGAACCTGGCGCTGAAAAAAAAAAGAATGAAAAATACACATCACATCATCACATCATCAGCCTTTAATAGTCCACTGCTGGACATAGGCCTCTCCTTAGAAAGGAGGTTTTCCCCTACTACACCACGCTGGCCAGACGGGTTGGTATAGGGTTTGTGTCAAGTTTTCCTTCTTTTTGCAGTGCTGGTGACCTGCATTGTTTTGCGCCCTTAGTCGGCTCTTACGACACCCACATAGTGACATTCCGTATTCTTAATCCGTCACTACACGGACAGTAAAAATACACATAGGTATAAGATATTCACAATATAATTAAACTAACAACTATATAAAAAGCAGTGGTACTGCATCGGTCAGAAATGGCTGCTGGCTCAACGTGAGTAGAACTAAATGTAATGTAATTTCTGACGTTCATTGTGACCTCTGAGATTATATACAAAGAAACCTGTTACTGTTTGAAGTTTGTTCTAATTGTAAAGAAAAAATTATACACGTGATTGCCTTTTGTTCTCACAACACTCGACGCAATCCAAGCGGCTGCAAATATTCTGTAAATCGTAAATAGTTATTCCACATAAATATTATTTGTGTCTATTATTTTAATAATTCCTGTGAGTGAGGATTTTCTTTTTACATAATTAACTGACTGACTGCACGGATGGCGTAGTGTTTTAAGTGGTCGCCATGCCGCTTCCTACTACGCTGAGTGTTGTGGGTTCGATCCTCACATTGGACGACACTTTGTGTGATCCACAAATTGTCGTTCTGAGTCTGGGTGTTCTTTGTGTAAGTTTCATGTATGATTTTAAAGTCCCCCGCGACACAGGACATATTTCTAGTGCGGGCGTTGTCTTTTTTAAATAAATAAAATAAATATAAAAAAAAAGACGTGTGGCACTCGGGGACTGCCGCGGTAAAGCTATTGCATAGCATTTTGTATCAACTTATGCAATTATAATTATTTATTTATTTTATTTATGCAGTATTTCTTTTTCTTTGATATTAATTCAAGTTACACTTTTTGAGCGTGGTGACCGATAAGAAAACATTTTTTTTCTTTTATTAAATAAAAATATTGAAGCATATATTACCTACAATTTGTTTTTAAATAAATAAATAAAAAATATTATTATTAAATCAAATTACATATCCATGTAAGATTTTTCTGCATTATGTTGACGAAATTTCTTTTGACGTTCAGCATTTGATTTTGGTACTGTTTTTTTGTTTTGTTTTTAGCGTGAGGTTTTTTTTCGTTACGGAATTTCTGGATTCCCCGCGCTGAAGGCCCTCGATAGAAGCTATGCAATAGCTTAATAAACTTTTAATGACGTATCAAGTATCACTGACTTCAATCCACCATCATCATGATAAGTAGTAATAAATTGAAATCTTCATCCGGGAGGAGGGATGGTTTTTTCTACAAATTTGAATGGAAAACAGGAAGAATAACTTCCCAAATAAAAAGAAACCAAATCCATACTTCCATACTTATATTGAAATGTGAAAGTCAGTTTGTTTTTTCTTTTTTACTCTTTCACGTCTAAACCACTAAATCGATTTAAAAAATACTTTTACCAATTAAAGCTACATTACCAGCGAGTATCATAGTCTACTTTTTACCACGATACCCGTTATACACGCAGGGGGAGAAGCAAAAGAAACCACGGGCAAAAGCTACACAATTCGTAGAGGTAACAAACATAAAAAAACAGTACAACTGAATTGCAAAGATCCTCCTTTCTTTGACATCCATACTAATATTTTGAATCGAAATCGAAAGTGTGAGTCTGTCTGTTACCTCTTCATGCTTAAACCTGAAATTTGGTATAGAGATAGTCCGAGTCCTGGGAAAAGACATGGGGTGCTTTTTATCGCAGAAATCATTCTTTAAGCGGTTGAAAGGGGGGGTAGAAATTTGTATGGGGAATCAATAACCGCTGAACCGATTTAAATGAAACTTTGTATGGAGATACTTGGATTCTTAAGAAAATACATAGGCTACTTTTTACTGCGATGACATACACGCGGGCGGAGCTGCAGGCAAAGCTGGTCTGTTATAAATATGAACGCACCTTAACACTTGGAACCACGGTTTCTTTAAAGGAAAAGTCGCTAAATAATATTTCAACTGTTCAAGTTTACCACATTATATCTACCTACATGGGTCCCCTTCCTCAAGTCCCCTTCGAACCATCAATTTATTATATTTTATTTTTATGAAGTGTGTAGAAATAAAAAACATATTGCTCCAACCGCAAATAATTGCGACATGGGAAACATATGATGATCATTTGCGGAGTCCAAATTATATTACTGTGTTGAGTATTTCAGTTTTTCTCGTTTGATAACCTCTAAGGGTTCTCACCCCAGTGTAAGGATCGAGAAATTTGAGGTAGTATGTCAGGACATCCCTTTTTTTTGTACCTATACTCACTGAGATTAAAAAGATACATAAACAGAAACCCAACAAAAGAAAAATCACTCAATCATAAGAAATATAACATGTTATTCTGTGAAACATAAATTGAATGTTTGACCTTACAAAAGACATCGGAATTGGAACAAATATACCTAACCACCACGCGATGTTGCATTACGAGAGTCTATAGCCTAGGTGTGCCCTAAGCGCTATCCCACTTAACCTTTAACAAACCTCAGCCATGTGTTCAAAAGACAGGTGCTTGCTTTAATATACGGGGCTGGAAAGGCTTCGTCTGATATCTGCTTCTGATACGACTGATGCAATGACTCGAAATTAACTGCATTTCAAAACTACATCATTAAGAACTAGTCTTGTAAGTGTAATAACCACTGTAATTAATTCATTACTAAATTTATTTAGTGTAGTTATGTATTCTAATATTATAATGTGAAAGTTGTGATAAATGTCTGTTACTCAATCACGTCAGAACGGCTAAACGGAATTACAAAAAGTTTCGTAATCATCTGAAATAGGACGTAACAACAAACAACACGAGTGAAACCGCAGACAGAAGCTAGTAATGTGTACTTCTCGTTCACATCTATTTAAGTATAAACGTTTCAACATCTTTAATTTCCAAATGGTTAACTTATTCAGTTACTAACGAATGTCAAAGAAGACATAAGTCTTCACATCATCATCATCATCACATCAACAGCCTTTAATAGTCCACTGCTGGACCTAGGCCTCTCCTTAGAAACGAGGTTTTGGCCTACTATATCGCGCTGGCCAGACGGGTTGGTATAGGGTTTGTGTCAAGTTTTCCTTCTCTTTGCAGTGCTGGTTGTCTTACGTTAGCTCCCTTAGTCGCCTCTTACGACACCCACGGGATGAATAGGGGTGGTGACACTGCGTATTCTTAATCCGTCACCACACGGGCGCATAAATCTTCATATTGTGCAAGTTAATAGCTAAGTTATCAAAAAGGACGATAAATAGACTTATTTCCCAGAAAATTAAATACTCTGTTACAACGCATCTTAATATTACCACACAATACGACTCTAACTATGAATAAATAAAGTGCAATTCTAGTTGTACAGCGCTAATTACTTAAAGTTAAGTTCACCTAAAACCTCTCTTTTTATAGCGTTTTCGTTTTAAGTTAAAGTTACAATCTATAGTTTGTTATTAATGATAAAACAGTTCGGTTCGTCTTAAGTCCCTGTCTTTTCTAAACCTAAAGTACCAAAATTTCTTACCAGCGGCCACAATTTTGCTATTAATTTTGCTACACTTTATGGTACATTTCAATAAAAAATATATGTATCCTTCAAGTTTCAGTATTTTTGAACTCTTTCTTCGTTTAGTGTAGTGTATGAAATCAATATGTGTACAAAAATTAACAAACTTTCATTTCTAACAAACTGTTGGGGCTTCAACGTAGTAAAGAAAAATGCTCCCAAGATTTGTACAGGGCTTTAATGTCCAAGATAAACTGGGTTTTTACAATTTTGTGTATCGCAATGCTCGCTCGTCGGATGTCGGAAAGAAAAGGCAAAGTCGTGAGGTAGTTACAATGCATAGTGATGCGATACGAATGATAAGAATATCATAGACAAACTATCGGCGTATACGGCGTTAACACAAACTATGATTTAAAAAAAATACGAATTAAAAGTACTTAATACGATATATTTTTTAGAACGGAACTATTATTCCTGTATTTTTGATAAAATGTTAATAGAAAACTGAACGAGTGCAAAAAAAAGAGACGAGAGAGAGACTCGATTGCAGATTAAGGACCAACGATATTCATACAATAGCACAGAAGAGAACTACTTCTCTTCTTTAAATATTAAATGAAATAAAAGATATATGAATGAAGATATATAAAGAATACTATCGTTTGAATACTTTGAATTTGACGCCTGTGAGAATATTGGAAACTGCCACACTAACACTTTTAACCATTAATAACAATAATAACTTGACAAATCTCACACAGGACAGTTTGATCCAGAATTAGACAGAGCCTGTGCTATGGTAACCAGACTGCTGATAAACATACTTATATATTTCTAAACACATACATATTATAGATAAATTACACCCAGACACAGAACAATGGATCGTGCTTTTCACACAATATTTGTCCTGGGTGAGAATCAAACCCCCGATCTCCGGCTTAGCAGTCAGGGTCACTAACCACTAGACTAAGAGGCCAGTATATACTACACACATAGAACACAACATACCTAAGCTAACAAAACGCAACTATCCTACATCCCACTATTTACCTTTAGAAAAAAAAACATGATGCTTTTTGTAAAGATTTTTCTAACACAAACGTATTTTTATTTCCAGGGATCCACCCATTCTCATGTCACACAGTAATTCCGATATCTTACTAAAGCTGCCCGGAGGGAAGAGGCTGAGGGACATTAAGTGGCTCAGCGTGTGGTGCCGACGGTTTACGGTAAGTACAACTTAACAATCGACATGCTCTTTTTATCCCACTTTTTGTATTTTCAGAACTCCGTCATTTATAAACCGATTTTGAAAATTATAGGAAAGTATATTTCAGTTTGGTCTCATTCAAATTTGAAGGAAGAAGGGGTGTCTTCTTCCTTTCCTTGAGGGTAGAAAATCAAGGAATGAAGAATATAGTTTATTCATATTAATCATGCATCGAGATTAGTTATACTTTTTAAGAGATAATATTAGTTAAAGCATGAAATTGCCGTTGTATATTAAAATATACTTTGAATTGACATAAAACCTTCATGGTGTGAGATTTTCGTGTGAAACTTTTTTCACATGATACCTATGAGGTTCTTTTAAAAAAAATGTGCAACATCGATGTTCGACTTTCAATTATTTTTTTATTCAGCTTTTTTATAACTGACGCGGAACTAACGAGACAGTAACAGCTCGCAATATCGACGCTGTATTTAAACGCTTTCGTAATGGAAACCTTGACTTGAAGAACGAACCACGTGAAAGACCGCTCACACAGGTGAATAACCCAAAATTCAAGGAGATGGTGGAAGACGATCCGATTGTCAGTATTTTTGAACTTTTCTTCGTTCAGTGTAGTGTCATCATCATCACATCAACAGCCTTTAATAGTCCACTGCTGGACATAGGCCTCTCCTTAGAAAGAAGGTTTTGGCCTACTATACCACGCTGGCCAGGCGGGTTGGTATAGGGTTTGTGTCAAGTTTTCCGTCTTTTTGCAGTGCTGTTGTCCTGCGTTGTTTTGCGCCCTTAGTCGGCTCTTACGACACCCACGGGATGAATTGGGGTAGTGACATTCCGTATTCTTAATCCGTCACTACACGGACAGTGTAGTGTATGAAATCAATATGTGTACAAAAATTAACTAACTTTCATATCTAAAAAACTATGATCAAAATCCGAGTCACACTACCCAGGAATTAGCGGCATGGTTTAACGTTATCCTACCTACAATATTGACTCATTTGCATCAAATCAAAAAGATTAAAAAAATATGAAAAATGGGTGCCTCATGATTTGACTAATCTGCAGTAAGAAACGCGTGTTGAAACTTGTGTCTTAAATCGATACAGAAATGAAGGAATATTAGATCGAATTGTGTCATGTGACGATAACCGTAAGCGAAAAATTCAATGGCTGACTCAAGGTCAAACGCCGCAACAGTGCCCAAAAGGTAACTGTTTGGTGGTCACTTCATTGTGTTATTCGCTATAGCTTTCTTAGGTCTGATCAGGCAATAACTGCAGATGTTTACTGTGCGAAAATTCGAACAATGATGGGGAAACTGGCAGTGAAACAGTCTTGACTCGTGAATCGATCTTCACCATTATTGTTCCATGATAACGCAAGACCTCACACTGCACTGCAACTCTACAAGAGCTGCAGTTGGAAACCATACGTCATCCTCCGTACTCGTCAGACCTTGCACCAACGGATTACCATTTTTTCGTGATTTGGATAATTTTCTGCGTGATAAAAAAAAATCTGCCCAGGAGGCAGTACAAAATGCTTTCACACAGTTTGTCGAATCTATATCCCCAGAGTTCTATCGTAAAGGCATAGGACGGTAAATATTTTGATTAAATAAATCTTAGAAAAAAGTTAGTTTAATTTTTTTGCTACAATTCGGCAATTTCATACTTTAACCCCTAACATTTACGAGTATTTTATTGATAGATTGTCGTTTCCACAAAGCCATTTCTTTATAATATGTGTAAAACATTTTCATTCTTTATTTACTACTGCTTTATGTAGGTATTAATTTAATAATATATGAGTATGTTTATGAGCAGTCTGATTATCGTAGTACAGACTCTGTCTAGATTAAGATCAGATGGTACTTCATACGACTGAAAAAAAACTTTCTCTCTCTCTTAATGCAGTCAAGTTCATACGTATTAAGTATGTGAACTTTTATATTGCATATTACCCAAAGTTTCGTAAGGTTGCACTGGTTATGGGACCGTGTGAATTCTCGTACCTATTCATAATTGTAGTTAAAATAAATAAGACATATTTTACGTACTATTTTAACTTCAAAAAAATTAGGTTAACAATTTGTTCTGGATAATTATGTTATTTCATTGACCAATTTAAAGATTAATCTTTTGAAAACCTACTTCAGAAATCTCAAATATTGACACTAACAATTTAATTTTGTTCAATGTCACTCTATGCCAAAAATAGTAGTATCGAAATGTCATTTTTTAATGATATAGATTTGTCAAAACGAAATAGTTAAGCCCCTCTTCGCTAGGATCTATGTGACAACAACTACATTATACTGGTTTAATAATATCAATAAAACATTCATTATTCACTGAATTATGGTACTATCGTATAGACATACTATTACACTATTTTGTAATTTAATATAATTGAGGTATATGGTTTAAATATAAGTCAACCAAATAATTATCGTCGCTAATTGACGAAAAATTATCCCCGTCATTACCTAAATGAATCCGCCATTGAAAATACCCAAATTCTTCACACCACCTAGTAACCGAAGCAAAATATCGATTACTTTTAGCGCGCATGCTTACAAGTTTCGCGCCAAAATTTGACGTTTCGTAGCCATCTTCCCCCGCCATTTGTGTCGTTTCAAATATGAATGGGCGCGTTCGTACGATGCTAATTTGACAAGAATAGGGTTATAGTATTTGAATTGTCACGCCAATTTGCATTCGAAATCGTCGTTAAAATGCATTTATGGATGATAGTAATAAATAGATTGGGCGGATAGCATCTAGAATTTGTAAATGCAATTTATTTGAAATTAATGTTAATGAAATACTGTATTAAAGTAAAAGATTTTATATTTGGTAAATATGTTAACTATCGCCAAACCAACCTAATGATATCAAAACCGTACAATATACGGGCATAACGGTGTGTTCCCATTGTTTCATAGTGCAAGCTATATTAAAGTAAATTGTTTTAATAAATTAAGCAAGTAGTTATAAGGTTTTTAGGATAAAGAATTAAAATAATTACATAAACAAAAATTAATATTTTAGAGTGACAGCTAAACTGACAAAATAATATCTATAATCTATCATCGCTATTTATAAAGACGGTTATTATTTTTTTGGGTTTTAATTCGAAGCGAACCTATTGCCCTTTTGCCCTTTTGCTAGACTCATTTCACTTGGAGTCGAATCTAGGAGCTCATAATCGCACATATATCGTAGTTTATACCAACGAGACATTGTATTTAGCAGTGTACAATATATTTAAAACTTTTATAAAAAAAAGGAATATTTATTTCACAGGTAAACTTCGGTGATGTATTCATCCCCCCTGGCCTGGACCCACCACGACCTAGAGTCCTTCCAGAATTCAAACGGTTGGCACACGGTCTTCGCTCTGGCAATATAAGCGTACTGGACGCGAAAACGTTCTACATACCAAACCTGCATTATGACGGAGCAGGACCTGATGCCTACTTCTGGGTTGGCAATGGCTCTGACCCTAGCCCTTATGGTACCAAGGTAAGATTTTTGACCATATGGTGATCTCGTTCTTAATCTAAGAGCACAATATATTATTACTCAAGTCTAAAATGTTCAGTTTTGACCGTGGGAGAGCCCTGGGTCTGGCTCGACCTTAGTGACACCACTGCCGCACAGAAAACCGGTGTTAAGTAGTTTTTTTGTTACTTGACACCCAGTTAGTGAGGTTACCGGGGCTCAAAGCTCCCAAATTCTGGGGGAGAGGGATTCTTGGGAAAAGGGAAATGACTTTTGAATCCTGAGTTGTAGGGGCGGCGGTAATTGTAAAACTAGAAAATGTTAATCGACAGAATTATTAGTACAGTGTTTTTATTATTACAATCGCTCCCAGTTATCGTATAGAGGAACATTCTAGCACGTGCCACAGTGTCTTAGACGTTTTTAGAGTGGTTTTAAGTTATTCGAGTTCCGAAGCCGAACCGAGAGCCAAACTCTTGTCGGTGGAGCAATCGCCACTCCTCTCTATTTCCTGCGAGCTGTTTGACCTCTTGATAGGCCACGACTCCCACTTTCTCCTTCACTTGTTATATGTACGTTGATCTAGGCCGTCCTCGTTTTCTCTTGCCTTCTATTTTTCCTTCCACTATTATTTTAAGAAGTTGTCGTGTCTTATGAAGTAGCCAACCATTTTACCTCTTCTATTTTCAATGGCATTAAACAATTGCCTCTCCTTGTAGCAGGACCCACCCTCATTGGTTCTTTTGGCCAACCAACTGATGGTCATTATTCGGGTTATTATGGGAAAGCTCATAAACCTTCTGGATCCGGATCATGAGACCCATATATACCCGCCAGGACTGCGTAACTACATTCTTGTTCTTTTACTGATTGTGGATTATTGAGTTTGAGATAAGACACTATAAATCACCGTCTCAAAACAGATATCATAATAGTTAATACATTGTAGTATTCGTGGGTTCGATTCCCACCCAGGACAAATATTGTGTGATGAGCACGGTCATTTGTTCTGTGTCTGGGTGTAATTTATCTATAATATGTATGTATTTAAAAATATATAAGTATGTTTATCAGCGGACAGGCTCTGCCTAGTTTGGGATCAGACGGCCGTGTGTGAGATGTGTGAGATATATTATATTATTATTATTATTATAGTGTACGAAAATAATATAAAATATGTGTGTATGTCTATGTATACAATCTTTATACATATACTTACTTACTTCGCTGGCTCAGCGACCCAAAATGTGTCTTTGCCTCGGACATCAAAATCCACCAACCTTTTCTATTCTGTGCCAGTTCAGACCAATCGGGCACTATATAGATATATGTGTGTGTATTTATTATGTGCGTGTTAAATAAGTTTATGTAAGTGAACTGTGTATATTTTCATTGATAACATAAAATGTACACCTGTACGTACCTTACAAGATTTCTACACCACCCAAAGGTTGACTGGAAGAGAATGCCCTAGGCGTTAAGTCCGCCAATGTACAAAAAGTTTAAAGTAAATAAATAAGAGATTCAGAACCCCAAGACTAATGGTAAATTGATGCTAAACAGTTTTCAACATTAAATTTCTTACAAAAACGAGGAAAACGGTGCATTAGAAAACGAGTTCGTCCCCAGTAATCAGATGGAAATGAACGAACTTAATCAGTGTGAATTTATGTTGTGCTTTCAGTTTATAACCGAGGGGTGGGACCGTCGAACCATGGGGTGTTCACCCTCGACGCTCGTGAACGTTAGGGGTTGTAAATATATCGAATTTGCTACTGTGACGAAAATAACTTGTTGTATTAAATATAATATTTAATACAACACGTATTTTCGTCGATATTATACGTACGTACGTACACGATAGGGCACTTGTGTAGGGAACAATAATTCTCTCACGAGCTGCAAAAACCAGGGGAGAGACACACTTCGGCCACGGCTTCATAGAAAACTGGAGCTAAGCATTGAGTGGCTGAAGTTACCGGGGATCCGACCCTAACCCCTCCTATTCACTCATAGATCAGCGATATACTTGTGACACTTGCGTTGCAGGAGTATATAGGCAGCGGTAGCCACTTACCATCAGATGACCCGTTTGCTCGCTTACCCCTTCAATATCATAAAACAAAAAACACAGATGTTCAAAAAAAATATCTGTAGTTATACCTAGTTCATCATCATCACCTTAATTATTCTTCTATATACCTGTCGAGAATCAAACCGCGATCCTCGACATCGCAGTGAGCAGGTGCTTTCAACCCACTGAACCGCTAGCGAACGGCTTGAAGCACAGGTGACTAGGAGGCAAGGAGAGGCCAAGCGCGTGCGCAACGGCTCCCACTGCGATTGCCATTACATACACTCGCCTTATACACTCGATCGGGAACACAGCTCTGTACAACGTACCTATTTCTTCTTCTCTTTCTTTTTTCTTTTTTAAAAAGACAACACCCGCATTAGGATTACATTCCTGTGTCGCGGGGGACTTCACGAACATACATGAAACGGACACAAAGAACACCCAGACTCAGAACAACAATTTGTGGATCACACAAAGTGACGTCCCATGTGGGGTTTGAACCCACAACACTCGGCGTAGTAGGAAGCGGCGAGGTGACCGCTTAAACCACTACGCCATCCGTGCAGTCACAGTATTTGTTGACATTACAAACCAGCGCAAAATACAGTCCGCTTTTTATTGGTCTAATAACACCGAGACCTTAACATACCATATGTACACAACTAACATATATCTAAAATGTCCTTTATAGGTCCCCAACGAAATGGGCTCCCTGCATCCCCTCCGCGGCTACCAAGGCGAAGACATAGAGATCCAACTGCCAGGCAAGCTAACAGCATACGATATAGACTGGCTAGCTGTCTGGTGCGTGGAGTATAGACACAACTTTGGACATGTCTTCATACCAAAGGACCTGGACGTGCCTCCAGCGCTGGGACAGACCAAAATTACCGTGAGTTCTATTCTCAGGAGAAAATCACAATTTCTCCTGTGTTAGGCAGATGCTTCATTCTTTTAACTATGCTGATGAGACTATATCTGGGTTAATATTATTTTGGTGACAGGGTTAATAATGGGGCTTGCTTTTGCTTAAAGAAACTCTATAGACTATTGGGTTCGAGTTGATGAATCCAGGGAACGAAGGACAGAGTTTTTTTTAATGCCTCAACTTTGGACATGCGAATAAAAATTTATTTACTGTCATAAAATACATCATTCAGGTTGCATCGGCCGTGGTCACAGCCTGACTATATTTAGGTATCTAAAAGAAAGAAATAAAAAATATCTCATAAGAGGTGATAGTTTACAAATTGGATATTTACTTAAAAAAAAAAATATGTTATGTTAACTCCCCACAGCTTGCTTGGACTCTCTATATTGTCTTCAACCCTATACTGCACTCACATAGATCTCTTTAACTAAAAAGACACCTCTGTGGTTTGTTTCGGCGTTTCTTCTCAGACTGAGTCTTCTAGCTGTAAAGTCCGACTCGTAAAAATATCTGAAAAGAGTTACTTGCAAAAATAATTATCATTTCATTTCATCTTGGACTAACATATTGTATGTTCTAATCTTTCCAGGGTAAAAGGACGCCATCTATAAATGGAACTGCTTATAAGTTACAAAATATAATAAAATTAAGAACGACCACCGCTAAACCAAGATGGTTATCTTTTGATTGGTTTAGCGGTTTTTAAATAAACCATTTTGCGAACCAGGACTAGTTTGAAACTAAGAATAATAAGTTCATGTAGGTTACAAAGTGATACGTGAAACGGAGTTGCTCCATTTGTATGTCTTTTTGTGAAATCGGTTAAATCTAAAAGTCTAGTGGTTGGTGCCCCTGACTGCTAAGCTGGAGGTTTTGGGTTCGATTCCCACCCAGGACAAATATTGTGTGATGAGCACGGTCATTTGTTCTGTGTCTAGGTGTAATTTATCTATGTATGTATGTTTTAAAAATATATAAGTATGTTTATCAGCAGTCTGGTTACCATAGTACAGGGTCTGCCTAGTTTGGGATCAGACGGCCGCGCGTGGGATGAGTGAGATATATTGTTATAAAATCAGAGCTATTAAAAAAATTTAACATTTGAAAGACGAACAAGAATGGAACCTAAAAATTAACAATAAACATCAAATCCATTTCTATTTTCTTTATTTTTTTATATTAAATATATTTACTCATAAAAAACAAACATAATTTAAAAACTTCACTTTAATTAAATACACTGTGTTTCGCTTATAACATTTAGTAACAGAAAAGGCATATCACAATTAGTCCTGGATCGCAAAAATATAAACTAAGACTGAACTACTAATTTTGTTATGTTCCTGTTGTAATGTTATGTACTTAATAAATACTGTTACATATAATCTTACCATATGTTATTTGTTTTTTCTAATACGCTTTCCTTGGGACATTGGATATTTGTTTACAGCCTGCATGGTGGTATAACCCTGTAAGTATTTATTACATATTTTATGTGTTACTAGCTGACCTGGCAAACTTTGTTTTTGTATCTAGGAAATACTGAAAAAAAAATTTTTTGGTGTGGGTCTTCTTGACATTTAGGGGTATGAAAAATAGATGTTGACCGATTCTCAGACCTACCCAATGTGCACACAAAATTTCATAAAAATCGGTCTAGCCGTTTCGGAGGAGTACGGTAAATAACATTGTGACACGAGAATTTTATATATAAGATTAGTTACAGGATGTTTTCTTTATTTATTCTTTAGTTATTCTTAACCTTGTTTTTTCTATGTGACATTGTTTTTATGTGATACTAAGACCAAAAATATAGATTAGAATGAAATGATTTTTAATGTGTAAAGCCTGCCTTACATTATAATATTAATATTGCAAAGGTAAATTGTTACTTGTTCCTTTAAGTCTTAACCTCAGGAACTACATACATATATAGAGCCATATTATTCTAAAAATAATTTCCTCGCTAAAGTCAATAGACTTAAGAAATGTTCAAACAATAAATTTACTCGTACTTACAAGCTCTCAACAGTTTTAAAGTTCACCGGTTTTTAGTCGTCCGGACAATTTAAAAATTAGTACTATTAAATAAATCATACTAAATAGTCCGTATGGTGACGGATTTAAAATTCAGAGTGTCACCACACCTATTCATCCCGTGGGTGTCGTAAGAGCCGACTAAGAGAGCAAACTACGCAGGACAACAGCACTGCAAAGAGAAGGAAATCTTGACACAATCCCTTTTTTTTTTTTTTTTTTTTTTTTAACGTGTGGAAATCCCCTCGGACCGTCACCCCTCCGGGGTTTGCGGCGGGGTGGTGTGTCGGACTCGGACCGACTAAAACCACACGGTGTGCCACTCTGCGCCTGTAACAGGAGGGATCCGGGAACAGCTGTTGTTAAGACATCCGGACCCCTCCTAGCGCCAGCCCGCTCCTGGTGCGGGCTCCGTCTCAGTGTTGTTCCTCTCTATAGGCGACGTCCGGCACACGCGGACGCCGCCCCCTCGCGGCTGGCCAACTAATGCGGGTGGAGGGGAAACCCACCCCGTCCACCCGCGGCCACACTCAGGGCGGCATGAGGCTGTGGTAGGCGGGCCTCCGCCGCCCGGTTCGCCGGCGGCGGATCGGGTCCGAGTGGAGGTCGTCCTCCCGGGCCCTCTCCGCCGCCTCCTTCCGCGAGATTACTACCTCGCAGAAGGTTGCGACCGCGGTAAAACAACTGTCGCTACCGGCCATGGAGCGTACTACGGCCGGTAGCGAGAGATCCACTCCGATGACTGCAGTGAGGGCCCGGCGCTGCGCCGCCCATGCGGGGCAGACCGCCAGCGTGTGCTGGGCCGAGTCCTCACTGCAGTCGCAGTGGTGGCAGGCGGGACTCAGTTCCCTCCTAGCGACCGTGTGCAGGTACTTTCCGAAGCAACCATGCCCGGAAAGCACCTGCGTCAGCCGGAAGGAAAGGGTCCCGTGCTGCCGCCCTGCCCACTCGGCGATGACCGGCTGGAGAGCCTCCACGGCGGCAAAGCCAGCGCGTGGAGTCTCCAGCCGGAACGACCAACGAGCCATCGTGGCTCGGCGAGCGGCTTCGCGCCACTCGCGCACATCCTCGGGCGGAGGGCGAAATCCGCTCTCCGCCCGGAAGTCAGCCACTCGCCGATAAACTTCGGCGAGCACTTCCGCCTCCAAATCCCACGGGGGAGTTCCGGCCAATGCGCATGCCACCTCCGTCGAAACGGTGCGGTAACCGCGTATGGCTCTGACCGCCATTACCCTCTGAGGGCGCCAGAGGCGTACCCTATTCTGGGCGGTCAGAGCCGCCGCCCACACCGGTGCACCGTACAGTGCCATTGACCGGACAACCCCCGTGTACAGCCGTCTTGTCGCGACGCTGGGTCCACCCATATTGGGCAAGAGTCGCCCTAGGGCAGACGCAGCGCCGACCAGCTTTGGAGCAAGCTGTCGGAAGTGCTCGTCGAAGAGCCACCTCCCGTCGAGGATCAGGCCCAGATATTTCATCTGGGCCCGAACCGGTACGAGGACCGAGTTGACCACGATGGAGGCGCCAGGGGGTGGACCACGACGGGGCCCATGGAATAACAGGGCCTCCGTCTTATCTAGGGCCACCCGTAAGCCCAGCGCCTCAATGCGCCCGACCACCAGGGAGACTCCCCCTGTGGCCAGGCGCGCCGCCTCTTGGAAGTTTGCCCTCCGGGCTGTCACGAGGGTATCGTCTGCGTAACAGATTACACCCAGCCCGGGGGGGAAATCGGCGCGAAGGGCCCAGTCGTACCCTATGTTCCACAAGAGGGGTCCAAGAACAGACCCCTGTGGAACACCGCACGACATGGGCCGACACCTCAGATTACCGTCTCGGTCCTCGTACACGACGGTACGCTCCTCTAAATAGTCTGCCACCAGCCGCCTCAGGTACTTTGGCACCCCATGATAGTGGAGTGCTTCCCTGATGCAGCTGAATGGCAGACTATTGAATGCGTTGGCGATGTCCAGTGACACCGCCAACAGCACGCCGCCACAGCTCACGGCCTCTTCGGTCACGGCCCTCAGGCGCAACACGGCGTCGACCGTCGAACGCCCCGCCCGAAAACCAAATTGGGCGTCCGACAGATCGGGGCCCACCTCGCAGAGGTGCCGGACGATGCGGGCAGAAAGAACCCTCTCAAACAATTTGCCCGCCTCGTCCAGCAGCACGATGGGCCTATAGGCCGCGACCGAATCGGCAGGCCGTCCCGGCTTCCTCAATAGGACCAGCTTCCCGCTCTTCCAGCACTCAGGGAAGCGTCCCGACGCCAAGCTAGCGTCGAACACCTCCCCGAGGCGGTCTGCCATGTGGTTGAGGGCCAGGGCCAGCACTCGGGCCGGTACCCCGTCTGGCCCAGGGGCGGGGTTCTTGGAACGGATCCGTAGAACAGCCGCCCCTACCTCCGATTCCCGGACGGGCGGAACATTATCCTCCCCGTGCTCCCCGTCGTCTCCGGCCAAGGAGGCCATCGACGGGGGAGTGTGTTCCGCCCGTTGTGGGAAAAGGCCCTCAACCACTTCTCGCAGGAAGCTGGGCTGGAGAGTCTCCGTAAGGGGGGGGCCCGACGCGCGGAGCTTTTGTCGCACCGCGCGGTAAGGGCGACCCCAGGGGTCACGATTAAGACCCTCCAGCATCTCCTGTCTTTTTTCTTCTTTGGCGCGGCTAATGGCCAGCTTCAGAGTTTTCCGCGCCCGTCGGTACTCCTCATGAAGCCGGTCCTCCTCACCGTCTCCACGGTGACGCCGCCGACTGCGCGTGTAGGACCTCCGGGCACGTGTACAGGCCGCACGGAGGTCCGCCAGCTCCTGGGACCACCAGTAGACCTCCTTCCTTGGAGGCCGACGACCTCGAACGCGGGGCATGGCCGCATCGCATACATGCGTAATCGCATCGCGAAAGCGGCCAGCCCCCACGTCGACCTCCTCGGTCGGAGCCTGAGGAGACAGCCACTAGTGAATTATGGCTGCCTCCTCTAGTAGGTCCCGGTTCAGCCTGGCAACAGCCCACCGCGGAAAGCGGGATAAACGCCGCGCCACGTGACCCCTACTGGAGTCCTGGGTCCGGGAGAGCTCAAATCGGATATACAGGTGATCCGAGAGCGTCTCAACCTCTTCCAGGACACGCCAGTTCCTTACTCGTGCGGCGAGGGCAGGGGTAGCGAACGAGAGGTCCACTATCGACCCCCCCTGCTGTCGCACGCACGTGTTGGTGGAGCCTCTGTTTAGAAGACAGAGGCCCACCGAGGCCGCCCACTCCTCTACGGCCTCGCCCCTTGCGTCCGTCCTGGACAATCCCTATACCAACCCGTCTGGCCAGCGTGGTATAGTAGGCCAAAACCTACTTTCTAAGGAGAGGCTTATGGCTATTAAAGGCTGTTGATAAAATAGAAAAATATGAAAGCGATTTAATAAATATATACATGGGAAACAATTATTATTAAATAGTAAAGGCTTTTTAGATTTCTTCATTCTCCTTTATAGTCACTTCTATGTGTTAGCTTGGGATCAATCAAACGAGCTTGCGGGGCGAAGGCCGGGTATTCTTAATGGCCGTAGCGTAGCATTATCTTTCATAGCTCATAAAGTTTCCTCAAAAACAAAAAGAATTTTTAAAATCCAACTTGAAAATCAGTAGATTAAGGCAGAATAAAACTCTTCGGCTTACCTATACATGGATGTTACGTAAATTACTAAAAATCCATAAATAATTATATTTTTAATCCATCCACTATACATAGCAACCCAAGGCAGTAAGTATTCATAAACTATATACTACAGGGAATATAACACGCAAATGTAACATAACAGTGACACAACTTATATAACAGTGATTGCAATTAACGCGCGAATGTGTTACAGACTAGCTCCACTACATCGCAATCGCCTTTCGGTGCGACAAACAATTGCAAAGAAATATTGGACAAGAGATTGCAAGTGCGTTGGGAAATTCAGGTAACGATATTAATTCTCCTCTAATTAATATTTATAATGATAATTATGAATAATTAGTTTTTTTTTTATTAACTAGTAAAATGCACCACGAACTGTCAGACTACTTGTTAACTAGTCATCATTTATGTTTTACATCCCTCTCGATAGATGGCATTATTACATAAACCTAGATCGCAATATTAAGATTCGAGAGGAAATAACATTGTGTAACTTTTTCATTAAATTTATGTCGTCCTGAGTGTTTTAGTTCAAATACCTTGACTACCTGGATTGTACACTACTTTAATTACAAATACGGAAATATGCAATACTAACCAACTCTGGGTAAATTAGTAATTAATTCTGAATAAATAATTCTGGGTTAATTAGTAGCCGACTTAGGGATCAAACTACGCAAGACAACAGCACTGCAAAGAGAAGGAAAACTTAAAACAAGCTCTAAACTAATCCATCTGGCAAGCGTAATATAGTAGACCAAAACCTTCTCTCTAAGGAGAGGCCTATGTCCAGCAGTGGACTATTAAAGGTCGTTAATGAAGATGACAGAAATAGGTGTGGTTTAATCCTGACTTAGTATAATTTAACTGAGTTGAGTCGTGGTGCAACTCTACTTAATTTCTATTTTTGTTTAATGTTTTATATTTAAATAAATTTAGCTAAAAAGGTAAGAACTTGCAGCTAACCCAAGGACGTTTTCATTCCATACAAATTTTTATTAAACGTACACATTATTATTTACATTCTAGCGGGTATCGAGAATATTCTGAAGGTAATTTATTATTGAAAATTAAACAATATATATTTAGTGTAAGATAAAACCCATAGGCAATACTTTTAAAAAAAACAAAGATCGTACTCCTTCCTCAAAGGTCGGCAACGCGTTTATGACTCCTGAGTTACAAGCGTTCACAGGCGGCGGTAGTCGCTTTCCATCAGGTGACCCATCTACTCGTTTGCCCCTCTACCATAAAGAAAAGAAACATCGATGAATATTTACCTGTGACAGCGCCTTCAGGAACAACCTTTCCAACAGATGATCCGTCTGCCCCCTATATCAAACGAGCAGGCAGGTCACCTGATGGTAAGTGATTACCGCTGCCTATGTACTCCTGCAATTGTAAGACTCATAAGTGAGTTGTAACTTAGTCTGCGGAAATTCTTCCCCTACGTTTAACACACTAAAGTTTTATCAAAGCTAACTTTACTGCTATAATAATAATAATGTATTAATTTGTCACAAGTAAATGTTTATAAAAATAATTTCATAATTGTTATATTACAAAAATAATCACAAATAATTCATTGCATAAAAAGGAAACCTATAAGTATCAGAAACTCTATAAGGCACAGTTTGGTAATACAATGCTTCAATTTTAACCACAGAACATTAGAAACAGAAATTCTGTAGCCTAGTAGTAAAAATAAATTTAAAACTAAATAGTTAACTCTAAAACCATTAAAACAAGTAATGTATAAGCTAGGATATATAACCCTACATCTGCGTCTTCTCATTGCAGGGTGACCAAGTCCAAATCACGTTATCAGCAAGACTTCGTAAGGAACAGTACATGTCTTTTGGCATCTCTGGTGCTGAAGGAAGACCAGCTATGCTCGGAGCTGACGTGGTCGTCGCCTACTGGGATACTAAGTAAGCTACTGCTGTTACTGTTCATGTTGAATTAGAGAAGGTTTTAGGAATATACTTGGAACAACAGTTTGACAAACAAACGACTTACTTTCGTTCTTTCTTTTGAATAACAAGAGAAAAGTTAAACATTAAACAAATCTCCATTCAGGTCAGAAAATTCGGCATAAGAAAGTTGCTCTGCTGTTATCAGTGTTGACACATACAAGAATTGTCAATTTACACAGCTTGGAAATTTCAAATAGTCCTTTGTCTTTTTTGTTAAAATTAAAAATTGTATATTACCACACACAAAATCAAGAGGATACTTTGTCAAATGTAAAATTGTTCAATACAATACAATACTGTGTCTACCTGAGTCAATCTAAATTTACCAAATGGAGCAGAAAAGAAGAAATAGAGCAAAAAAACTCAAAATATTTACTAAAATAGTTACACTATTGTATCACAATAAAAGGTAATTATTCCTCATGATTGAGTTCAATTTAACTTAAATGATACTCGCAGCGGTTATTTTGATTCGACGAAACCCTCGGCGTTAATTTTTCTTTGGTGCGTCATAAGCAAAAGCGTTTCGGCTTAAAGGTGGTTTTCTTTGTCAGTCTATTTCACATAGAGTAAGACTTTCAGTTCTTATCTATACAAATAAATAAAATTGGAGTGTCGGTTTGCAATGTTAAAATACCCGCTTTTTACTTAATGCATATGTATGTTTACACGGTACATATGATAAAATAACATTTTTTAGAATTTTTGTCTATCTGTCTGTCTGTTTGTTCCGGGTAATCTCTGGAACGGCTGGACTTTCACTGGCAAATAGCTGATGACATAAGGAGTAACTTAGGCTACTTTTTTTAGACTAGCTTCGCTCCGCGGCGTTGCCCGCCGTTATAACAACAAACGCGGGTAACACCGCGGGTCTCAGCTAGTATCTTAATAAAAATCACATCTGGAATAGTCGCATCAGATAGTATATTCTATATGCTATATTATTCTATATAATTAATATATTCCCTCTTTTTCTCCCCTTTTTTTTCGCTTTTCGTGTAAACGTAGTTCTCGGTCAAGTCTTGTATACTTATCCAATGTTAGTGCACCTAATCACTCATCTCTACACCACCCCAAGGTAGTCTAGCAGAGAATGCATTTTCTTGTGCATTAAATTTTTAAATTTAATGCTTTAAATAAATAAAATAGTTGTACGGATGGTGTTTCAAATAAAAGTGACTTTTTTAAATAGATACCAACCACGCTAACATCCAAGACCTTATACTAATCAATACGGGAATTGAGGCCATCACACATCAACAGCCTTTAATAGTCCACTACTGGTTATAGGCCTCTCCTTAGAAAGGAGGTTTTGGCCTACTATACCACGCTGGGCCATCAATGGTATTAATATACATTTAAGTTGGTTGACATTTCGGCCTGGTTACATTATCCGTAGTGAAATGTCGACAATTCAGCTTAATATTTAAGCATCTCTGGACTGCATCTAACGGAGAGGTAGCTCTTATGTCCTCATAAAAACATCGCATTATTTCCCGTATTTTATTTCATGGAACGCAAAACTTTACAAGTTTTTTTTTTCCACATCCACACAACGCCATCTAGTTCCTAACTAAGCACAGCTTGTACTATGGGTGACCTTTGGAATAGCAGTCCGTTACACAAACCATTATGCCATCCGGTCGTCAATTTTCATTTTAACATGTTACATCACACGAATCTTTGGAAGTTATAACACATATGCATCAAATCATCATCACAGCTACCCTATGTAGTTGATGGTGCCGTTCCTAGATAGCTACGTGTACTTATTTCCTCTGTAACATCAGGTCAAACAAGCCCCGGGTGTCGGACTACACGATCACCCACTTGGCGCAGTGTGATGGAGAACACGGCGTGTGCCCGGACGAGAAGCTCGGTGGAAGTAACGATGTTGTCATCGGTAATTATCTACCATTATTTGTTTTGTATGTCACCGGAAAATAACAAGAACCGTATATATATAAATTCCCTAGGAAATGTATAAACCTTCGTAGGATTCTAAACGAGAGAAGAAAGGTAATGAACGATCCGATCAGCTCGCCAAGGAGGCGGCTCTGGGACTGAAAAATGCACCGGACTAGAGTTCGGTAAGTTTATCAATTTGCGAACAAGTGGGCGTATAATAATACAATTGATATCTCCTTTAGAATCCTATGAAGGTTTATAAATTTCCTAGGTAATTTATACATTTGCGGTTCTTGTTATTTTCCGGTGATATGAATACTGATTGACTTAGATTGAATGATAGACTGAGAATGATACTAGCAGTTCCTTGCTAGTATGAACATTAAGAACAAACCTTCAAGAAAACGCGTACTCCTTCCAAAAAGTCCGGCTACGCGTTTGTGACTTATGAGTTGCAGACGTTCATGGGCGGCGATGGTCACTTTCCATCAGGTTACCCGTCTGCTCGTCAGCCCCTCTAACTTAAAAAAAAAGATCAGAAACTTTGGCGTTTATCATATTAATGGGTCTGCATTTCAGTATCCGGTAGCCAAAAGAATGGTATCACCACCATCACCTTTCGGCGTCCTTTAGCAGCCAAGGACTCGTTGAAAGACAAAGAAATCCTGACAACGAGATCCCAGTCTGTGATCGCGGCGTTTGGACCCCTCAACTCGAAGTACGAAGCCAATGCTCATTCCTTCATGGACACGACGAGGAATGACGTACAACTTGACTTCGGAGCCCAGGTATTACTTACTATTGACTTTTATATTGCGCGGTAGTTAGTACAGTCTTCAACCGAAATACCTGGTCAGCACTTTCACATTCCATTAACAGCCTTTAATAGTCCACTGCTGGACATAGGCCTCTCCTTAGAAAGGAGGTTTTGGCCTACTATACCACGATGGCCAGACGGGTCGGTATAGGGTTTGTGTCAAGTTTTCCTTCTTTTTGCAGTAATGGTGTCCTGCGTTGTTTTGCGCCCTTAGTCGACTCTTAAGACACCCACGGGATGAATTGGGGTAGTGACATTCCGTATTCTTAATCCGTCACTACACGGACCGGACAGCACTTTAAAGTAGGAATATTAATTTTAAATGAAAAATCATGTTAATTATGGATATATTAATCTGGAGGTGTTCAGTTGTATACATTTATATATACATCACGTAATAAAAATATTTTATAACTTTTTCTAAATGTTCGAAGTGATAGTTCTCAGGTGGCCGTTTACGGTGTATACTAGACTTGCAACGAATAGTATATTCGGCAGTATACCGAATACCGAATATTCGGCGAGGCCCCTGACCGAATATCCGAATGTTAGGCAAAAGTATTCGGCTGGATTTTAGCGCCAAAAACTTGTACAGACGTGAATTAAATTATGTATCTGTTTTATGTACCAATGACTACTTAATAAATGATTATAAAAGAAATGAGAACCTTACCCTTCTAAATTTTGATTACCACAATAATTCAAATACATAGAATCCTCCATTTTTCCTATTCAGAAGATGATTATGTACCAGTATTATGCACCAATGACTACTTAAATGATTATAACAGAAATGAAAATATGAATATATACGTAATCAATCGATTTTAATTTTTCATTTTACCAATTATTTCTCAATGACAAAATATATTATTTAAGTATTCGGTATTCGGCTGAATAATATGCAGATATTCGGTATTCGGCTGAATATAATAGAAGCAGCCGAATAGGCCGAATACCGAATAGTAACCGAATATTCGTTGTAAGTCTAGTGTATACCTATATTTTACACAAGTTAATGACAATTGTGAGTAAAATTTTAAGGAAACGTCACTTTCTAGCACATTTTATTGCATGAAATAGAAAAAAAATCTGGAATCATAATCATAAACGGCTTTTAGTAGTCCACTGCTGGATATAAGCTTCTCCTCAGAAAGGAGGTTTTGGCCCACTATATCACGCTGGCCAGGCGGTTTGGTATAGGGTTTGTAGGTTTCCTTCTCTTTGCAGTGCTGTTGTCCTGCATAGTTTGCTTCCTTAGTCGGCTCTTACGACACTCACGGGATGAACAGGGGTGATGACACTCTGTATTCTAAATCCGTCACTACACGGCATGTAAAACGTAGTGGTTTAATGGAACCACAAAAGTGGAGTAGCAGAGACTGATATTATACACGTGATATAAAATTACACAATAACAAAAAGAGACCTAGGAAGTCTAAGTCTCTTACGTGTCCATCATTGTACGCATAACATGTTATTCTTACTCGCTTGAGACGCCCTCAGAGTAGGATGCCTGAGGTTAGCCATCGGGGTGGTTCTCACGTCTCCAAGGAGACGGAGATCTATTTTTCATCGTGTCACAAAAAAAGGTTGATAAACACTTGAGTAGGCTAAATGACTGTCAAGTGAAATCATTTTTTTTGGTCAACACGCTATAACGTATATTTTTGTATGAAATACTACATATTTCGTGACGTCACACCCAGCTATTGTCAAATATAATTAACGTTGACTCGATATTAAAGTAATAAAAAGGTTAAATCGATAACGGAGGACAATTCAGGTTTTAATTTAAGATGTTACATTTAATGATGCAGGCGAAATAATATATTTTAAACCCTGTCAGAGAGGTGTAATGAGAGTCGTATGTACAGAACGACAAGTCGTGCATCGGGTTGGCGGAGACAGCGGCGGAGGGCCCCGCGCCGTGGGCCCCGCGCGTGGTGTCGGGCGCCGCGCACCTCTCCGCGCGCATCGGGCCCGCCGCCGGCGCGCGCGGCTACACGCCGCTCACCGGTCACTCTACACTCTATCTCTCACTCTCTCTTAATCTCTTGTCTTATTCCCGTCTTTGTATTACACTGTTCTGCTTTAACTGTACTCGACTGGTATTTGATGACTAATTACTGCACTGGTGTTACGGTTAAAGCGGTCTCCTCGCTGCTTTCTACTGCGTGGGTTCGATACCCACATGAGATACGCTTTGTTTAATCAAATTGTTGCTCTGAGTGTGGGTATTTTTTGTTTCCCCTTTTTATGAATATTTATAAAGTTCCCCGCGACACAGGATATGTTACTAACGAAGGAACTGTCTTTAAAATAAAATCAATGCGAATTCCAAGGCAATTATGTGTTCATGGGACACTGGTTTAGGTGCATGGGTTAACCTGGTGTACAAGAGTCACTTCAGTGAGCAAAAAAAAAATTTTTTTTTTTTTATAACTAATCTTTTCTTAACACTTTTAAAACTTAATTATACCTATTTAGACAAATTAAAAGTTAAAATCAATAAATGAGCAAACACCATTTACCAGCAAAACAAGTACACACATTTAAATAATATTCTACTTTAAATAAATAGTTTAGATGTGTATTATCATCTATAATTTTCTATTCGACTCAAATTTTATTTTATTTTCACGCAGACAATGACATTAGTAATGGATTCCTTCCTTATGGTAACTATATCTTTAAACTATATTGAATGTTCAATATTGATCGACAGTACAATCGATATTAACGACTATAGATTTACGCCATCTATCGATGAGCACACGAACTACGTAAAAATAACTTTTCCTGCACCTCGCAATGATATTTCTGAAGCTGATTAATCTGCTTATTACACATTAACTTTAACCGTTGCACCGTTGAAGTTGAAAACGACGCACGGATCAACGATATTGAATTAATAAGACAATAATGGCCAGGAGGATGACATAGGGATATATATAGTTGATCCTTATCCGAGACTCCCGGTGTCCATCACCCTAAGTTCCTCGTTCTATTCGCTTTCCTTCTTCCACCTCCATCCTTCTTATTGGGTCACCTCTCAAATGGGTGACATTTCCAAACAAAGTTGGCGTCAGGTGAGCGGTCGGCCTTAAAAGAATCCAGCCAGGACTCTCTCGGACGCAATGTCGAACCCAAACAAAATTAAACTAAAGACAATAATGATTTGATTAATGATATTTAATTATAAATTGTAAATCATTACAGTCAATACACATTAATTCGGTGAAGCTGAGAAATGGAGATGTCTTGAGATAGTCAAGTAATAAAATATGTGGAGTATTTTATTCAAAAAGATTACTACAGTCCATTCGCGTTAAGAAAATAGTGACGCATCAATCAAGCCCCGCCCCCTGACCAGTCAAGTTTCAAGAAATTATCGTTTCGTACGAAATAGTGTAATCTGATTGGTCAGTGTGCGGGGCTTGGTCAATGCGTCACTATTGTCTTAACATGAATGGGTAAACTTTGTTACATATTAGTAGCTCTGCAGCATCTGTTACTCATACAAGTATCTCCGTACAGGTCACCCATCATGGGGTATAGCGTGGTACATCAACGACCAGCTGATCCCAGAGATTTACGTCGAACGCGGTCGTACTTACACTTTCATCGTTGAAGGAGGGGATGACAGGACCAACCCTGCCAAGTAAGTGGTGAACTCTATATCCTCCCCCTTCTTTTTTTTTCCGTGCGGAAATCCCCTCGGATACCACCTGTGGGTGGCATGTCGGACTTGAACCGACTAAAACCGCACGCCGTCTCGGGTACTAATAGCCGGGGAACCAGGTATACCCTAGAAAGGAAGTCCCTGCTGCCCCGACATACCTCGGGTTATCTACAGACGAGTAGACGACCCCCCCCCCCCCCCCGTGTGGGAACCCCATGTTCCCTGTGCTCCCTGGAAGCAAGCGCGCTTCGCAACGCGCTCGCCGCCACCCCGGCTCTATATCCTCCCCCTCTGTGCGCTTTTCAAGAAACTTTTTGCAATCCACAATCCGAAGGGTCCTGAGTACACACTTATAGCTCTACGATTGCAGGTGACCAAGGGCAGTCGTACCCATACATCAGGTGACTCGTTCTCGTTTACCCACCATATCATTTTTTTTTACATGTGCTTAGGAGAAAACCCAATTAACTTCAGGTCAATTTCAGCTAGTTGTGAAAGCCAATACACCGTTATCTTTATGCCAATGGCAATCCACATATATCAAAACATATTTCAGTGCCATCTACCGAAAACAAACCAAACTAAAAAGTAACTCTTGAATCTGTATGGCACAATGAAAGTTTTGACCCCGTTTAGTGAATACAGGGCACTAGATACATCGTCCACAACCTTACTCCAAGTGTAGTCTTCTTTCTGTTACAGATTTCATCCGTTCTACATCAGTGATTCTTCAGAAGGAGGCTTCGGGCAAAAGAAAGAAGAAGATCAACGGAAACAGCGTGTCTTCGCTGGCGTTGCGTATGACAATGAGGGATACCCTTACCCTACTGCTGGTGAGTAACTAATTTATGGTTTATACCTGGAGACATCTTATTAAATTCCGATCTGGACAAAGTCACCTTTATCTCTTTAGTGCTCCTCCCAGAATTAGATGGAGAGGGGGGTAGAAACTTAATAATCTTTAACCCTTTAACGCCCCTCCCAGAATTTGCCCCCCTCCCCTTAAAAGCGTAACGAAAGAATATCTTGACACCGGTTTTCTGAACCCTTCGAGCCGGTCCATTTGCAACGAAGCATGGCTTTGCCGCGGTTGACCTTAGATTGCATTTATTACTTTTTGAAAACAGATAGAAGTAAATTACGGAACTCAACTGGAAGAGTGCATAGTGCAGTCACACTTGGCAGTTTTTTTAAATATTATATTTTCAATACAAATTGTTTAACCTTTATAAATTTCTACAGTGGGTCGGTACTGTGAATGGACCCACAAGACCACAGACCAGTCGGCCACGTCTGAAACATTCGAGGAGTACATGAAGACTCTGCAGCTGGAGTGTAATGATGGGGAGCCTGCCGTCCTCAACTGGACTGTGGCCCATGAGACACCTGACTTGGTCTACTATCAGGTATTTATAGCAAGAAGTTTTGTTTAGGCTAGAATAAATTAGTAGTACTCTAGAGGATAGAAGAAGACATCAGTACCCTTGGCAGGTGTATTACCAGTCTTATTTAAAGATTTTTATTACCATATTCAAATTAGTTGTTTTCTGATCAACAATAAAATTTGGTAGTTTTACAAGTAATTGGAATGGCAACACAACACTTTTTTTCCGTTGTAATAATTAAGCTTCTAAAAAAATAAAAAACAGGTAATGTTTGGACTGGATCATTCGGTAAGAGAAGCAAAGGAATACCACAAGAGAGATGGAGAGATGAGATAAAGAAGGTGACAGACATAGACTGGTTTACTAAAGCAAAAGATAGAGAGTATTGGAGAAAATTGGAGGAGGCCTTTACTCGATGAGAGGTCCTTTAATTAACAAATATTTAATAAAATAATTTAATATTTTCAAATCACTTAATGTTAAAAAGTATAATATACATAATTGTATACTTAAAAATTGAATAATTTTGTTTTAAAGTATTAAGGAAATAAAGAGGCCATTATAATATTAATAATTAATATTCTACTTGTACTGACTCATGGTAAATTACTTCTCAATTCAATACATGTATTTTATGTATTTTATTATAACGAATACTATATTAAAAAATTAGACGTCGTTAAAATAAATATTCCTTTTTAATTACTCAACTTTTAATATCAAAGAAATGTGTACATATTTGTATTGTAATACTTCCAGTGCTACACCCACAACAACTTAGGCTGGAAGATCCACGTGGTGGAGCCCGGGACCTCGGTCCCCATCGCCGCCGGGGAGAAGTTCGCGCGAACCAACACGGCCTCCGCACACACCCTCCCCCACACCCTCGCCCCTCTCGCCCCACTCGCCTCGCTCCTCCTGCACCTGGGCCGGAGATAATGGGACGCACAGATTCACTACACCGACGCGACTCTATAGGGCTTATTTTATATTTATATAAACTGGCAACTGTAATGGTACAATCAGCAATAAAAATCCATGCACATGATGCGGTAGACAACTGTCGAGTCAAATTAGTATCTTTCTATTTAATATACATCAAAGCGATAGATACAAAACATTATGAAATACTAAGGCGTGACGTCATACCTAGCTATTATCAAATCATTTACATGTTACGTTTGATGATTCACGCAAAGTAATTTAAACATAGGAATCGTACCTAATATTAAATAATTTTTTTTAAAGAATTAATTATATTTTTTAAAGAAACTAATACCAATAACCTCTAAATATTTTGTTTACTCAGTGCGGTTTCTAGAAATTCAATTGCATCCAATAATTATTTTTTTGGTAATGATTGGTATATAAAAATAACTTTCACTATTTACAAGTTGAATTTGAGTTTATTTAATTTTTACACACAGTCATCAACTATCTGAGACAATAAGAAAAATCACAAAAAAAATATCAATAAAATTAATACCGAAATAAAACTCAAACAATCTTTACTTCATTTTTTTTTAAATTGTTTGAAATCGTCTCTTATAACTATAGACTATATAATCATAGTCAACACGCACAATAGCAACAATCTCTGTTTCCTCAAACATATAGCACAATAAATATATACGTTTAGTTTAACTTTAAGGACTTTAAACACCATAGCCTTGGACTGTTACAGTTGTCAGACTTCAGGATGTTGTACAGACTGTGTATTTGATTATAAATCAGGTACAGTCAGGCCTACAAAGATGTACACAGAACACTTCAGATACGTTATTTCCCAATCAAAACTTCTATTAGGTACAGACGTATGTTTAGGTTTCCATGTAAAACACAGTTTAATTTTAACATTTGAATACTATATTTTTATTTTAAACTGACCTTTTCAATGAACACACACATGCATATATGAATAAATGTTCACATGTTTTTAGAGCTGACTGTACTTAGTAGTTATCGATACTACTTGCTAAAAACAACAACAATGAGGTATTCACTGACATTATTACAGCCTTCAATTTTAGTTGGGCGAGTATAAAATACAAAATGTTGATTTTCATATACAAATAAAAATGTCTAATAGATGTAAAATTAAAGACAAATACAACAGGTCAATCAAGTATAATAAGTGCAAGCCTATTGAACTATCAGAAATAAAAAGAAACGCGGAACTTGAATATCTGTACACAGTTTTGCGATGAGTATATATATAAATCGGGCTTAAAGTAACTGAAAAATCTCATATTAAACCGGCTGACTATACCACCCTCAGAAAACTTCTAGAATATCGTAGAACATTCTTAACATTTTGACCTTTTTCTGGAATATTAACTTCCGTAATAACATACTAATAAAATTACGTGTGGTCATAGTAACCCATTATTATTAAATCCGAAGACCTGTTCGTCTTTAATTTTAGTTTACATACAAATAAAGTGTAATTAATAGTACTGTATCAACTCTTGACAATAATAAGGACTTTTATCAACGTTAACTAAGTTTAATTAAAAATTGTAATAAAAGACAATAAATTTTTAGTCTGTGGCTTATACTAAACTGTCAAAATAACTGACATTAAAGTAGCGTACGCAAAATAATACATTTTGAAATTGTTTATGAAATCTAAATGATATATATTATATGTATATACATTTTATAGTATACTTGTTGAATTCAATAATATTCATGCTTATTTAAGATTTTACACATTAGTATTCATAAATATTTTGAATTTATATTTACGAAATGTCATAATTATACCATATGTTTATACAATATGAAAATATTCGTATTCGATAAAACGAAACTTAATTTAGTACGCTATTGACATAAATCAATTTAAATTCGTTCGTAATTATTTTTGATTATAATTAATTATTACATACTCGTTCAACTACAATAGTATTAAAAGTGAACGCGTCGTTCCCAGAAGATTGTGATATTGTTGGACGAATTTAGATTGTAAAGGTTTGGATTGCCAGTTGTACAGGTAATTTAATAAAAGAAAATGGGTAAATAATGTCAATCTACGTACATTATATCAATTTCATATCACATGAACTATGAAAGTGTGTTAACTTTACAAACTAGGATGATATCTAAGCTATTTAGTGACCCCGATTTAGTACGAACCGTTTTTAAACTTTTTTTGGTGTTGCCAAATACACATAGTTATTATTATTTCATGTAACTTATAAAAGTGATTGGCCTAATTTTTCTTAGAATCGAAACAAAAACACCTAATATTTTAGTTTTTAGAGTCAGGACTTACCGTTTTTAAATATTACAAAATAAAACTAGACAATTTACATGTTTATGTATTTACACGTGTATATGTACCTATAAATACGTAGATAAAACGTAACTAAAACAGTTTAGTTGTAAAAAAATCCTAAATAAAAGTGCAGACATTGACAATAAAACTTTGGCACTAAAATATCATTAATTATACCTTATATCTTATATTACATATTACTTATATAACAAATTATTAGAGTTCACGTTTATATACTTACTTGTACTTTACGTGCTCGACAATAATAAAAACCGTAATATTAAGGCAATAAAAACATTTTTTTCTTAGAAAATAAAGTTACGACAGCAGACAATAAATGCGGATCATCAAACAAATAATAAATTATGTGCAAGTGATATATTATTGAATCGCTTACGAATGAATTTCATTAATACAATACTAGATATACATTTTTGGTCGGTTTATTTAACTTTAAGATAGGAGTAAGAAAACATTTTGTGTATGCAACGGAGACAATAATCTCACGCAGACAATAATCGTAGCGTATTATACGTTTAATTTCTAAGTAAACTTGTTTTTAGACATATTTAAGTCTAACGCCGTGTGTTAATGCTCAGACGGATGTCTTAAGTCCGGTTGAGCATTTTCTATCCTTAGTGCAGCGCTTTGTGAAAATAGATTTGTGTGTTATTATATTATTTTCAATTGAAATACTTTTTTGTATTATATTGTTAAAATAATGTTTAATATTTTGGGACAAGAATACATGGCCTAAGTAACATATTCTTTTCAATGTTTATGTTGGATATAAATGCTTCACTTCCAACACTGAATTATCAATGTTTTTCTTTTTAGTATATTATTATAATATTACTTAGTATTTAAATAATATAAAACTAACATTCTATTACAAGTTCAACAAAGAAAATTACTTAAATAGCTCCTAAAGAATTTCACACCTATTATTTATCAGCAAGGTAAACGGCCTATTCCTCAGTTATAATTTATGAAATCGTTAACATTTTTGATAATTTAACGTTTACTTTTTGAATATTAAAAGGAAATATAAACGTATTATAATTTTACTACGTATGACAAATGTAGACAATACCATATATCTATGTGTATATTTATATATATTATCTTTTAAATAATAAATTGTGTAAATAACAGGAGATGAATAATTACTTTAATGTTTTTAATTTTTAAGCGACTGTATGTCGTTACAGACTGCGATAGATAATGTTGCCCTATGTTAAATAATGTACTGTTTAGTAAATGTACTTACTAATGTTTTTCTACTACGATTTAGTTTGCAGAAGAAATATATATTAAGGCATTATATTTAATAGTGTTTTTAGCCTAGAAGGCATTTTATTATAATTTCAGGTTTGACAATAAATCAATATGCTAACTGTTGCTTGTTAGCATCTGTTACTCTAAAATTATATTTATTTAGGAATTTAAATAAAATTATTTCTAAAACTTTTTATATATTCATAATAGTTAGACGAAGCAAAATTAGCAAGTAATTAAAAATCAATTTACACTTGGTAGTCGTAGATGTTGATGCACAAATTTATGTTAAATGTAAGAAATTTATTGATAGTTAATTATTATTGTAAACATTAAACTTAAACAAATTTATACTGTGCAATTACATATACAAGCCTACATTGTGTGACTGTGTCATATCATCTGCAATTCTTTCATAGGTATTAGCTGTTTATAAAAATAAATTCATTTTTACTTTATAAGAACGTTCAAAAAAAAGATCCTCTATTTATCTCAAGTAATAAAAAAAAAATTACTATCATTTCACGTAGTGTCGATATCATTTTAAATATGATGTAACAGAAATATATATATCGAATAGTTATCATCTTGTAATTTTTATAAAATTTTAACATACATTTTAACATTTAAAATTTTAAAGGTAAAAGAAAATTGCACATAAATTATTAAGAACTTTCGTATTGTGTATGTATTACAAATAACTTGACATATCTATTAAAGATAATTCTAGTAAATTCCATGCTTTCCGTCTTCAGAAGGCTAATTCTCGTAAGAAAAGTTCGGTCGCAATTCAGTTCCGATCAATTATCGATCTCGCAACTGTCATAAAAGTTATTTTCGTAGTAAAATAGTAAAGTATTACTAAGACTAGCAGATTACCGATTCAATTTTTGATCACAATCCGATATAATCACATTACAGTCAACGTTGTATGTTTAATAATTTACAACGAAAATACCTTTTATTACAGAAACTGAATTCTGACCTAACTTTTATTACGAGAATTGGTCTTCTGCTCGCTTGTGTTGTTTCAACTATTATTGTGACTGACTTAACATAATAGTGGGTCTCTATAACATCGTAGATGGATTCTACTACCTTTCTAAAACAATTTCTAAGTAAGAATCAATACATATTGGAAACAGTGGAATTTGAAATGTTATTTTCTAATTAAGAAATGATAAACTTAAAATTGAAACCAATAATGGCTATTTATATAATTTTGGTCATCATTTGCAATACTTGTAGGGTCCCATAATCAAATATAACAATAACTCTTGAGGTAACAATAAAATGAGGTTCACCCAATATCTCGAATATGAGATGCATTAAGTTTTTAATTGACACAAATTAAAAAGACAAAGACTTTTTATAAAGCATCAAAAAGATTAGTTTTGTTTACAATATGCTACATTTTTAAAGTTAATATTCATATTATATTAGTAAAGTATTTTATTAAAACAAAATTATTAATTTTATTTTATTTTATTAGCTATATTAGCGGGCATAACTACATTAAAATTATTTAGAACGCGATTCAGCAACTAATTCTTTGTGTAGTTTTTACACTGATTGAACATTATCTTAGCATCATTCAAAGCTTTTTACTAACACATCAATTGTATATACCTACACAAGTCAGTCTCGAATTAGTAAACTTAACGTTACAGATTGTTATTGACTACAACATTACGGTTAATATTGTGTAATTTATAATAAACTTTGACAATAAACACCTTTTCCTAAAGTAAATTGCGTTTCATTTCATGATTTTATTTCTACCATAAATGTGTCTCACCCTCATACTGGCAACATTATTTTTACCATTGACAATTCAGCCGTAGAAGTGCCTATTATTAAAAATATGTTAATGTAACTATCTTATTGTTTGTTTGTTACGCTTTTGCGTCTTAGATAACTATTTAAGAAATAGTTACACATATAACAAAAATAACCTCACACACGGCTGTCTGATCCCAAACTAGGCAGAGCCTGTACTATGGTAATCAGGCCGCTGTTAACATATTTATACAGATGTCCATCAAAATAAGACACTGGCTTTAAACACATACAGTATATTATATTATGATAGTACTTGTCTTTGGCATTTAATTAAAAAACCTATCCATTTAAAAGTAATGACCGTTGCAATTTTAAAAACATGTAGAATGTGTAAAGTTGAACATTTTAAATAGAATAAAATTATGTATATTTTAGAATCATTCAATCCACTCTAGAGAAAATCCACAAACTAACTCTAAGTATGCAGTGCTTTTGAAATTGGTTTTTATGAATTGGCGACCCTGACCGCTAAGCCAGAGATCATAGGTTCGATTCCCACCCGGGACAAATTTTGTTCCGGGTGGTACAATTATGTTGTGGATGTGTATTGAGTTAAGCTAAAATATGGGGTTTGATTGATACCTGAAAAAAAGTAGTTTATTTTTTATTTTCTTATTTATTTATTTAAGGCTTCTTGCACAAATAACAATTAATTGTACAATAGCGGACTTAATGAAACAGGTATTTTTTCCCAGTGCACCTTTGGGTGGTGGGGAAATGTCTGAGTAGGTGAACTAGAAATTAAGTTTTAGGTGTAACGAGATAATAATAATTAACGATATAGAGAGAAACAGTATGAGAGATATACATACATGTATACACATTATACAATATATAAAAATTCGAGTTGGGACTTTGGTCTTAAATGGAAGGCGGCTGGGTGCTATCCTGATTTTATTTGTTTTATTGTGTGATTCGTTCTGTGTCTGGGTTTGATTTATCTAAAGAATGTATTTACGTAAAATGTTTATTTAAAAATATATGTGTCCGATTTATTGAATAGACTATCGCTACTCCACTGGGCATTAAGACGTGGAAGTATGTTAAATCGTGAAAGTTAAAATACTTAACTTTTGTATATAGAGGAAATGTAAAAAGGAAGCTTAAATTTTTAACAATATATAGGTACAGGGTTACTGGTTTAGTCGACCTAAATACTTTAGGAGGTAGTATTGGCTTTAATTTCTGATAGATTTCAGTATAAAATAAGTACCATTTCCTAAACTTAACCATTTTCAAGATATTGGACTTTTCAGATTTTTTATAAAAATTGCCGAAAATTTACCTTTAATTTTTTTTTAGAACTTATATTACTATTCTTTTTCTTAGATACCCAAATTAGAAAGTAAGCCCTCGTTTCAAATTTGACTGTAACCCGCCAACCTTAGAAGAAGTAAATACCCAAATTACAAAGAAATATTCACAATCGGCACCAGGGCCTGATGATATACCATATATGGTTTATAAAAAATGACCATCAGTACGTAAACACTTTCTAAGTATACTCTGTAAGATCTGGTCATATCTTTCTGGCAGGGAAACTGCTCATCGGTTTCGTGAACGCTAGGATCACAGTCCTGGCGGCGAGACCGATGAGGTGTCATCGGACACACACGCGTCAAGTGTGTAAGTTGTTTTGACTGCTGGACTATGTTTCTGCTGCGGACGACCGGGGCACAAGGCGGCAGAATGCTCTGCTGCCTCTCACTGCCCGGCGTCTGCGGCGGGTAACAAGCCCGCCAATCATCAGAATGGGCAGGGGGTGCAAAGCTCCCCGCAATTCAAGCCAGTCGACCCAGGCTGCCTCCGGTGTCGTTCGTACGACGTCACTGTCGCCCATGGAGGAGGTTGTAGAGTCGATCCAGTTATGGACCAAGTCTCCAAACTCCTTGTCCAGACGAACCTGAACCACTGTGCGCAGGATCTCTTACTACAAACCATAGCACAGTGTGCCCGTAGCAGCGGAGCCCTATTACGTTCCTTCCCGTCCTAACTGGTTCGGTGACCGGGACGGCTCCGTGGCAGTTGTCGGCTCTACAGCGGCTTATTCCACGCCCTTGTCGCTAAGAGACAAGGGCACTGTTATTATGTATGTTGCTGCTGAATGGGGGGGGGGTGTCACTATATACGGTGTATACTTCTCCCCCAACCGGAGTTTGAGCGACTTCGAGGTTTTCCTCAACAGCTTGCGCTGGGCACGTCCTTGTGCCGGGCCGACTTCAACGCAAAGTCCATTGCGTGGGGTTCCCCCAGGGTGGACGCAAGGGGCGAGGCCGTAGAGGAGTGGGCGGCTTCGGTGGACCTCTGTCTTCAGAATGAAAACCTATTTAACGTTCTAATTTTGTTTTCTGAAATTGAGTGCTTTCAACTCTGTCTATGGTTTGTCATTTCTAAATGTCAGGTACAAATTAACAAGCATGCTTATCAAATAAAATATTAAGTATAATTAAATTAAACTGTTCTTAAACAAAATATATAAATTATATATTAAAACAGTAGAAGTATTGCTTGACGGGAATTCCATCAATGGAGGGTCGGAGCGAGGTAAACACTTAGTACTTATTTTTTTAGTAGTGCCTTTAGAACATTGAGTTAAAACAACATTATATCAATGCTTTAGAACAATGGTATTTGTTACTGTTATCCTAAAGAACAATAGTTCTCATTTGTTGTTGGAGTTACACATCAAGTCGATACGGAGGACCATTAAATGAAATTAAAGAACAGTTTTTATCGCTTAGACTTTTTAGTTTTTGAAAAGACATACTTAATTGATTTTTTTGTTACTCAGAGCTTAAGTTATTTGTTACTTTAATGTCTACCTACCTAAATGTTTTCACTTAAAGGGCAGCAGTACTTTTAAAACGATTTAAGTTTCCGAAATATTAAGGTACTTAAAATGATTAGTTCATCAACATATTATTTTCACAGAAAAATGGACAACTAACAATTACGCCGAGTTCGTCAGCATTGCCACTCATTGTGAAAAAAAAATCTAAACTAAAGCCTGGTCTCGCTATTGGAATAAGTTTCGTGCTAATGTTCATCTCTGTGGTAACAATGATGGTCATCTATGACTTTGCTGCTGGTGAGTATATAAACCTTATCACAGGAGAAGTAATACCAAAGAAGAATATCTCTTTCTTAATTTACATTAGGACGTCAAGCCACAGTCAAAAAACTTTCAGCAAGTTCAAACTGTTATACGGGCCTGTTAGTCTAGTGGTTAGTGCCCCTGACTGCTAAGCCGGAGGTCGTGGGTTCGATTCCCAACCAGGATAAATATTGTGTGATGAGCATGATCATTTGTTCTGTGTCTGGGTGTAATTTATATATGTATTTATAAATATATAAGTATGTTTATCAGCAGTCTGGTCACCATAGCACAGGCTCTGCCTAGTTTGGGATCAAACGGCCGTGTGTGAAATGTGTGAGGTATATTATAAAAAAATAAATGATATCGCCAAGCCGGATGCTGCAACTTAAGTATAGTTGCACCATTGAGTTAAAACAACACTAGAGAAGCAAACCTCATTATCACACGTCGAAAAAGTGTAACCACTTTTGAACTTTGACGACGTAGCTTTGATACCACTAAACATTTGAAAGTAAACATATTTATGTCTCATTTACACGCGAGACAAGAACAATACCATCGCTCGGATTAGACAAAGACAAAGACATAACTTTACGATGGTGGGCCAGTGTTGACTCCCGTATGAAATTTTACCCATAACAACCAAGAAACATTTTTTTTTAAAACAATTTTGTAATAAAATAAATTAATTTAAATATTTTCAATAATATATTTCGAATTGAATGAATAGGTATAAATAATAAAATAACTGGAAATATTTGGTTAAAAGGGTTTATATTCAGTGTAAAATCAAACTCCGCTATGAAGCATCAGTTTTGTATACAATTGTCTTTTAGACTCTTTTTTATGAGTTCGTGTGGATATTTTACTTTCATGATACAATCTTATTTTTACCTATGTATAAATAATGGCATTTAATAATAAAAGTGAATGATCAACTTGTACTGATAATAAATAATCCCCAGGGTGTATTGCAAATTCTTTTAATATTTTAAAATACAAATAAAAAATATAGATATATATTTATTTTATTTTTATTTATTTGAATAGCTGATACAAATACAAATCATGTACATAGAGATGCAACATAAACTCCTTCGAGTTTTACCGTACATCAATTTCGTCATATGTTACTTACATTGTTACAAAATATCACAAAATGCAAATACACTTAGAATAAAAGCACCAATACATAAAGCATCACAATAATTAAGTGAGGGTAGTATACAAAAATGTGTACGCAGTGCGCAATGGTCACATCGACCGCGCATCAGTGATGAATTCAACAACATTATATCGTGGATACATTTGTAATATTTTACTACACTATACAGGTTGTTCCAGGGTATGACAAATGGTCGATTTAATTTTGTAAAAAGTGTTGTTTCAATTTTATTTTTATGTTTGCTTTTGTTAATGAAGTCTTTATTGATTTCGGAAGCTCATTTACTAAGAGTGGTACCATGCATTTTAGAGTTCTTTTCCCGTACAGATTTGTAAATCGTGGTAGTAATAATTTTGCATTATTGACGCTACGGGTCTTCATACCATGTGTATCACGGGCTTTGTATTTTTGAAGATCTACGTTAAAGTACTCCTCGGTTAGTAACGTTAGTTTTACCTTCTGATGTATAGGAATAATTTTGCAGAAATCAAATAGTTGTTCGTAATCGTGCTTAAATTTATTTTTTATGTTTTGTGGTACAATCTCTTTTAAAATTTTAAGTTGAAGTACATATATTTGGTCAAGGTGGCTCTTGTAAGTCCTGCCGTAGCTCGAAAGGCCATACGAGATTATTGAGTCTGCCAAAGATTTATAAAGTAGGAGGAGTGTTTTGTATGGTATGTTATGCTTGATTAATGAGAATTTGGCGAGAATAGTTCTTAGTTTATTGCAGACTTGATTTATGTGTTGCTTCCAATTTAGGCGGTTGTCGATAATTAGTCCGAGATAGGTTTGTTTCTCAACGTTTTCTACGGTGTCACAATTACAAGGAATAGTCAAATTAACGTAATTAGTCTTATGTAGACAATCATGACAGTGTGCTATAAGTTTAGGTGCCCAAATACTTCTGTTTTGGCTGGAACTAATATACATCACTTTGGTCTTTTTAATATTGAATACAAGTCCAGCATCATGCGACCATTTTAAAAGGAGGTTGAAGTCGCTTTGTAGCCAATTTTGAGCTTCGATGATATTAGTTCCCGCAGAGATTAGGCAAGTGTCGTCTGCAAACTGGTACATTTCGCAGTTTTTTATCAGGCTTTCCAGATTATTTACGTAGGTGAGGTAATGTAAGGGTCCAAGAACAGAGCCTTGAGCTGTACCTTCCTTCACTGTGATTTTTTCACTAAGCGCGTCACCAACTTTGACCATAAGCTTCCTATCACAAAAGTAGTCCCTACACCACTCTAGCAGGTTGCCTCTAATACCACTCTCAGAGAGACATTCTATTAACCTGTCATGCTTGAGCGTGTCAAACGCTTTGCTGTAGTCTATAAATACGACCAATACGTGATGTTTTTTGTCTAGGTGGTTGTATATACTATCTGTGAAAGCTGACAGTAGTTGTGCTGTATTTTTATGAGGCTGAAAGCCATATTGTTTTGATGACAGTATATTATTAATTTCATAGAAGTCATAGACTTGTTTGCAAATGTATTTTTCAACGATTTTATCTATGGTTGGTAGTATAGTTATTGGCCTGTAATTATCATAGTCAGTTTGACTGCCTTTTTTATGTATGGGCCTTATAATGCCTGTTTTCAACGTGGAAGGATATTTACCAGTTTCTATAGACAGGTTTATTAAGTTACACAATACCGAAATTATGCTCTTGGATATTTTCTTGATGTCAATAGTCCTGATACCATCTACTCCCGGTGCCTTATTGTTATTTAGAGACATTAATATTTTATTAATTGAATGAGACTTAGCTGGTTTAAAGCGCATTGTTACATTAGCGGTACTACTGTAGAGTGACTTGTTTAGCAGAGGTAACGAGCAATTTGGAATTACGTCTTTAACGTTGTTGGCGAACGTTCGCGCAAAATTATTAGCAATATGTTTACAGGTGTTACGAACGTTTTTGAAAGCATTGATAACAACACCATCGATAGATTGTTTGATTCGTCCTGTCAATCGGTTCAGTATTTTCCAGAGGTATTTCGTGTTGTTCTTGTTGTTAATAATGTCAGATTTGATTTTGTTGTTTTTGGCCTTTCGCATTAAATAATTTGCATAATTTCTTGCTTTATTATAGTTTAGTTTAAGGTTCATATCATAAGGTTGTTTAATCCATGATTTATATAATTTATCTCTGTATTCGCAAGCCTTTATTATTCGTTTATTAATCCAGTCATGATTACAGCGAGAAGGTGATTTTTTTAATGGGATTTTATAATTTGACTGTTCGTAGCACTCAGTGAATCGCGTGTTTATATAATCGTACAATAAATTAGGACAGTTTATATTATGTGCGTCATCCCAAGATACTTTTTCCAATAAGTCAAATAACTTTTTGTTATTTATGCAAGTTTTATATTTTGGGGCATCCTGTATCTGTGAGCCAGCGCAGGCAAGAACAACGGCACGATGATCAGCCAGTGTCGTCCCAAGCGCTGCGGTATACAGGTCTTGTGCGCGGGATCTAGCAAAAATGTGGTCAATACATGATTTACTTAGTAATCCGTTACTTATTTCGATTCTAGTGTATTCAGTGATCCCGCACAGAAGCCCGACGCCACTTAACATGTTTTTGTATTTATGTATTACAGGATTATGCGATTTTATGTCTATGTTAGTGTCTCCTATCACATACAAGTCGCTCAACCTAGGAAAGTGATTAAGTGTAGTGTGTAGTTCATTGATGAAGAGGTTTTTGCTAGTTCTCGGGGGACGGTATATTGCACACAAACCCGCGGAATAGTTGGAGTGGGTGGTAATAGTACATAATAAACATTCGAAGTGAATAGTTTTTATACTTTTGATGCTACACTTATGTTTGTTATTTATATATAAGATAATACCACCACCCCGACGTTCGTTTCGTAGGGCCGCGTACATACGGTAGCCTTCGATTTGAAAGAGACTGCTAATGCTTTCAGATACATTAGCTTCAGTTATAATTATGACATCAATGAGTATCTTGGACTCCTGTATACATTGTTCGAGAGCTGAGAAGTTTTTAATTAGGGATCGAATGTTAATATGAATGCATAATAGATTGATACTGTTGGTGTTATTAGGTAAATAGTTAAGAAAGTCGTTTACATTCACACAATCTGTGATCTCAGTAATCTCATTAAAGCAGTTGTCCATAAGAAATGAAAGTGTATTGTGTAACAATTGCAAACAATTCAATGAAAACTTACAGGTTTGACGATAGGGAGCGTAATTGTTCTAACGACTTTACAATAATAGGTTTATCACTATCTTCCTTTCGGGCCCTAACGACTCCTCTTTTGAACCATACATATTTGAAGCTCTGGTTGATTTTAAGCTCCTGTTTTGCATTCCAGAATAGTTGTTTGTTGAATTTAGTCATGGCTTCTCTAATATATACTGTATTTTTATTATTATTTTCTGTAGGATGGATGTCACCTACAGTCATTTTAAACGATTTAGAAGCAGCGATCCAGGTTTTTTGCACCTGTTCATTCTCTAGTTCCACAAGTATATTAACGGGTTGATCTTTTTTTGTATACCCTCGGCTTGTACTTTTAATCACCTCTTTTGGTTGGTTCAATTTTCGAGCGATATTTTCCACAACGGCTTGAATCTCTTCATTGCTTTGGTTAGGAACATTGGCAATTTCTACATATTTTGAGAGTTTTTCTTGCTCTAAGTCTTGTAGACGCTGTTCCAAGGCACCGACTCGAATTTCTAAGTGGTTGTTCTTATTGGTCAGTTCTATGTTCTTACGTTCAAGGGCTTTGACTGTTTTCTTAAAAGCATCCATACACTCCATTACTTCATCGAGCTTGGCACTGTGAAATTGCAATGAGTCATTCAACTGGACCATTTCTCTCTTGATTGCCCTTTCCACTTCTTTGGTTATATTGCTAAGCAACTTCTTAGCATTGATTTGGACGGCTTCGTCTTCCTCCTCCTCTTCTGGAACTATTATTGAGGACGTCCGCCGGGGTGTTTCTTGTTGGCAGTCGGGGCATGTCCACTCCAAACTTGTTGCAGCTTTTAGGGCTGCTATCTGTTTGTTCGTTAAGCCCGTGCATTTTGTGCTCAGGTGTACTATTTTTTCACACTTACTGCACTCTAGGCCTGGTGTAGTTTTAGAAATATTTTTGTTGCAATTATCGCACTTAGACATTTTTTGGGGGTATTTGGGACAACCTGCACTAAAGACGGACAAATGACGAATATATATATATATATATATAAATATTATTCTTTTTTATATTTTTTTTATTTATATTTATTTACTTTTTTATTTAATATATATATTTTTTTTGTACAATTATTATTTATAATTGATAATTAATTAAGAAAAATGAATGAATGAATTAATTAATTCTTTTGTACAAGTCTCCAGCACTGCGAGCTTGGCAGAAGGTGAACGTTCAACGGGTCCCTAAAAAAAGTGATTGGTCCAGCCCTAACAACTACCGTTCTTCCTATATTTTATTATTATTGGCAAAATGTTTAAAAACAGTCTAAAGCATATTATTTCATAAATTATAAATTCTCCCACTAATGTGGGAAAACCAAAATGTTTTTTTAATGGTAACACTGATTCTAAATTACAATTATCAATGTTTTATTTCAATTATAGCCTTATTTACGATATTATCAATACAAAAACCATAAACTTACACGTGATAAGTAATTCCGCATGATTTATTATGGTTTTGTGACCTTGAATCGCATTCTTTCACTACGCATTTACCCATTTTGGCGATTGTTACTGTCATGTGTGGCTATGTTCAACTCGGTTGACGCCACATTGAACACTGAATTGACGTTTGCTACGCATATGCCTGTGGACAGATGTGCAGTAGCAACGATTTTAGGCGGTAATTACTCATCTATGTAAGTATTATATCAATGAGTTGCACACAGTAGTTGTTGCAGCAACGTCATCGTATCACTTAGAGCAGCCACCGATTCATAAAACCTCTAGGTATTCCAGGGAACGGAGCAGTCTGGATTTTTCATACAAAGAGTGCAAATGGGTTTGATAGTATATACAGAATATATATTTTAATTATTTGTCAAGGGTTTACGGTTTTACTTACGTGTGTACTCCGAGGATGCTAGACTTGTTTCGGACCCCAGTTTACGAGGGCTTTTAGTGCGTTTAAAGGATAGTTAGATAGTTTAGAGAGTTTAAAAGATAATTTTAAAGAATCATGAAAGTTTTTCTTACTATTAAAATGTATTAAATGTGGGTTGTGGCATTTTCCACGTATAGTGAAAGAAAAAATAAAAATCAGTGCCATCTAACGAAGACACTCTGAACTATGGAGTGACTGCTAATCCTGTAACGCGATATGAGAAGTTCTAACGCCGATTGGCTGTACAACTTCCCAAGATCAACCGATGGGCCGCGGCCCACCAGGCATGATCCTTGACGTCCCCTGGTCGAAGGATCCTCCTTTGTATTGGATTTTTGCATTAAAGTTCGTTACTCCATAGGGTTAATTTATATTTTCTTTTATTCACAGCTGGCATGCTAGGTGTCAAAAAAGGCCACGAACAAATTCAGAAAAGTGAGATGAACATGCAAAAAGGAGTGCGAACTGTCCAGAATCTGTGCCCTGTGCACGACTTCCCTCATGATTGTCCACATAGAACACTTCATCCATACCCCACTGATTTTAAACAACCTTTTCGAGACTTGGTAAGAATCCTTAACTCAAAAACTCCAAAGAAAGTCTTTCTTCTGTAAATAACAATTACTAATACTGCTAACAATATTAGATTGTATTTATCGATGTATCGATCAGTATTTACTTTGTTTAGGGTGTTTCTCATTTTTCGTGCAAATTAGGCGTCCATTGCAAAAATCTTAATTTTTTCAATAAATATCTATGATTCTTTTAAATCAAATCATATGTTATAAAATTGTGCTTATATGCATGTAACATTTACTGTTCCACATAGCTTATTTAATGTGTTATACGAAAAAAACTTTGCTAAATCTCATTTACTTCGGTGTCCACCTGCTATTCTCCCTATTAAATTTGTATTTAAACCTAAAATATAAATATCAAACCTTAACAAAGTAATAGTTTTAAGAAACTGTGTAAACAAGAGCAACGTTTGAACTTAAAATAATTAATATTAACTTAACAATACAATGAAATTTTATTATATATATGTTTAGCACATTTTTTTTCTGATAACCATCGGTTCGTAAGAAAGTGTAAATTGCAGTCTGGGTTTGCCCTTGAATGCTTCTTTGCTCTTACCATACCCCGCGCACATCTCTCATTTGGCTGGCAAACATCGTAGCAGGTGCATGCTTGTTCGTGGAAAAAATATATTTTCGTTTAGAGTTTTGCGGGAGGTGATTATTCTGGAATCGTACTCTTTCCTATCGTCCACACTATTAAGTGAGTATTTATGATTTAAATCAGTGTGCAGCTAATTTTAAATTTTAATAGATACCTTTGTCGTTTAAAATATGCATTAGGTCCGTTACTTTGATATTTTTCGGGAAACTATGGATAAAGTATTCAAACCTCATTACCTTCTTTCTCAGTGCCTTCGTTTACCGTCGTTTTTTTGAGCGATGGTGATGAGATTAATACGATGGCAATGAGAATGTATTTTATGTTAGTTCATTTTTATTTGCTATTTTCTTTTTCAAAATTATGTGTGCCAACTGTGACGATAACTGGCTAAGCAAAAAAATACAATTATTATAATTTAAAAAAAAAAGCATTATAAAAATAAATAAAGCAAATAAAACATTACTTCTATAGATCGCTAAGGATGCCAAAGAAAACCAAACAAACATTGGAGCAGAAACGAGAGTGAGATCGACTACAAAAAAAAGTAAATATGCAGAAATAAAGTAAGACCCCGAAAAGTATGCAAAAGAGAAAGCAAAAGAACGAGTAAGGTATCTTAAAAGAAAAGAACAGAAAATATAAAAAGCGCAGCAGATATGACACCGAGACAGTTAAGAGTCCCAAGAAAAACATGGAGAGTTAATTCGAAACTTCACTACGAAAGGAAAAAGAAAGAAAAAGTTACACAACAGCTATTACTAGAGAATTCTCCAATAAATAGTGACATTGAAGTAATCTCAGCGAAACAAGATCCTCTCGCTAGACCAACTGTAAGCCCATTACCAAGTTCTTCCTTAAATGGTTTGGGTTCCGGTAACCATAACTCTTGTCAACAGTGCCTAAAAAAGAATGTCCTTCTAAGAAAGCTTCGCTACCGACATAAAAAAGAAATCGGCATTTTGAAACAATACATAGAAAAATTGAAAAATTAGGAAAGACGCCATTAGAAAAATGTTTTATAGAGTAATGAAAAATGAGAAGAAAAATGCAAATATAACGACTGAAGAAAAAATAGAATATTTGGTACAAAATAAAGGCATTGAAAAACGTGAAGAAATTAAAAAGAAACTAATGTTTAGCGAAATCCTTAGAAGTAGTGTTCAAAAAGGGTTTACGTGTTTGAAAAAAAAGATAAAAAAGAGTTTTCTAATGTGGTAATGACTGAAAAAGAAAAAAATTAAAAATATAAGCTCTTGACGCAAACTCATAAGAGTGAGAACTTAACAGAGCAATTAATTTTGGAGTTTTTCGATGATGACGCAATAACTAGAATTGCAGCTGATAAAAGAGAATACATTACTAGAAACAAAATAAGAAAGCAGAAAAGATACTTAACAGACACTTTGACTAATCTTTACAAGAAGTTTGTGCATAATTCAAATGTCAAGGTAACGCATCAAACCTTTTGTAAATATCGTCGTCGGTTTTATACCCAAAGGAATCAAGCAGAAATATGTGTGCTTGCAAAGTTCACGTTAATGTTGATTTGTTGACAAAACGAAACATTATATTTCAAAATTTAAAAACGCTCTCGTTGGCCATATGAAACACTGCACTAATATTTTAACTCAGTATAGAAATATTAAAGAGCTTAAAAATAATCTTAATCCATAAGAAGCAGTGATTCATGTTGACTTTAGTGAGAACTACTGCGTAAAATATAACGAGGAAATGAAGAGTTTTCATTGTGGTGGAAGTAGGATGCAGTTATCATTGCACACATGTGTTATCTATTTGATAGATCCAGAAGTTGGAATTCAAAAACAATATAGCTTTTGCACAGTAAGTGAATGTACCCAACACGATGCAGCAGCTGTCTGGGCACATTTGATACCGACTATGTGATGGAGCTTCAAGCCAGATTGACACAGTACATTTTGTTTCCCACAGTCCAACAAGTCAATATCGAAATCGTTTTATTTTTTATATGATCAGCCAGCTGTATCGCGATTTTCCCTGACCTGGAACTTCTTTGAAGCTGGACATGGAAAAGGAGCACCAGACGGAGTTGGTGCTGTTCTCAAAAGAACAGCAGATGAAGTACTTCGTTTTGGCAGTGACGTGAACTCCTTAGAAACATTCCTAGCCTGTCTTATACCTAGAGTAAAGATTGAGATACGTTGTAACAAGATATGACATTGAAACAAGAAATTTTCCAACAAACTTAAAAGCCGCCAAAGGTACAATGATGGTACACTAAGCTCTTTGGGCATTTGAATGTTCTAAAATTACTTTAAGAAAATTAAGTTGTTTTCTGTGTGACAAAGAAGTTACTTGCATTCACGGCAAACATATTGGATACTATGGAAATAAACATATTGGAAACTGGCTAGAATTGACGTCATCATAAATGACTTTTCATGATGACGTCAATTTTAGCCAGTTTCAGAGTTTTATTGATGAGAATACAACACCAGAACTCATAAAAGAAATAAGCAACCCAGATTTTTCAATCACTCGTTCTGAAATGTCAATCAGATTCGAAGATAAATTGCCAAATAGACCGTACTCACCTAAGGTTAAAATACTGTCGGATATAAATTTGACTGATTGGGAAAATAGAAATTTTGATCATTATTTCTATAGCAATTAGATTCTTGAATCATAAATATTAAAAATGCATCTTTGTAAACAAAATTTTGTGTCATTCCCTTCTGTGTATCTCAATTACCTTCGCACCCCTATTTCCCACAGCTAACGGCTCAAAATCATTCCCCTCCTTAACATTCTCATTACTATCTCATCCCAATTTTTGATATGCCATTAATTTCATTGTTTTTCACAAAAATAAGGTAGAAACAATAAAAAGTTGAAGAATTAACTATATAGTAATGAAATAAGAAAAAAAAATTAAGTTTTTTGACAATAATTTGAAATTTAGAATTTTCACCGAATTTGCACGAACTAGGCGAAACACCCTTTAAGCTTAGGTAGCTATGTTTAATTTAACCCATAATGATAAAAAAATACTACTCTACATAGTTGAAAACGAAGTCTCTTCCCGCCGACTGTACACCTAAATTTTGTTTTCATCAATAGACAGAGTAATTCAAAGAGGAAGGTGTATAATACGTGCATTTTATGGTAGAAAAAATGGAGAATTTCAAATAAATAATAATAAAATAAAACTTTAATTTATAAAAAACAGACCATACAGCTAATGGAAAAAACGAAGAATACATTTTAATTTAATTAAGTAGATAACGCATTTTTGAAGCTTACAAAAATATATCTGACTAAGTTATCTGTGAATTGTAATGTGATGTCATCTGGACCACTCCTTCGTTGCTAGGGCTGGAGTGTGCGTGTACGTTAGAGATGATATCAGTTCTCGCCTTGGCAAATCTTGTAAGACGTGACTTCTCGTTCCTGTAGCTCCGTATAGACAGCGACGACCATTATACACTCGGGAAGTCCCAGGAAGAAATTAAACTGTCTTGGAACCCGCAACGATATTAATCAGAAGAAAATTGGAGGAGTTGGAAATACAGTAAATCCACTTCCCTCCTTAGCAAAGCGGGAGACAAAATGAAGTAAAATAGGTATACACCTTAAACAGGTAAGCACCACGGCCACAAAATATTACGGGTCCTACCTACGTGACCTATCGCTTGTCACAACTGGTATCAATGCCCACAACAGGCCGGATGTGGAAATTCATAAGGCTTCACTGTTTGACCTTCCGCTGACCTCTGATCCGGACGGCTACAAAGTCATCGTTGAGGTTCCACTTGACCCTCGGTTGCAGGCTGCCGCCGCATATGGTACTATAGGTCAGTCAGACTGGGATGGGAGGCCCTCTTTTTTTGCGTTCTACCCATGGAGTCTGGTTTGTTTCTTACCGGATGATCCCAACGTCGTTGCCAATTCTGTCGCTGATGTAGTGCTTCAGGGCATGAAACTATTTGTTCCATCTACTTTCATTACCATCGGTGGCAGATCCAAGTCTTGGTTCAACAGACCCTGCCAAACGACGTCCAGCCGAAAGCAGGAATGTTACTAAGCCTGGGCTACTGCAGCGAAGGTAGGTGATCCCATCAGCACTCCGATCCGATCCGAGCCGATCTCCTAGGCAAACTCTTTGCATCCAACTCGGCTTTGGATGACGGTCGAAACGTACCGTCGACCATGCCGCGGTGCCAGAGCTGTATCCCGAAAATCCGGTTCACCCAGAAATCAGTGCGGTAAAGTACTCTTTTCTCTCGATAGCCATAAGTCGAGTGAACCCGATGGAATCTCCCCTATCGCGTAATCGTGTGCTCCAGAGTTGGCGTTTGTGCACCCGATCCCTAAAAAAGGTCATCGCTCTGATCCGTCCAACTACAGGTCTACTCGTATAGTCATCACCCCCTTGTTCTCTATGATTATGGTATACGTAGTCAACTGCCAGCTCCTCCGGTACTTAGAAAATCACCAGCTTCTCAATGACCGACAATATGGTTTTCGGGGTCGCTCAGCTGGTGATCTTCTTGTCTATCTATCACACCTGAGGGCACAGGCGATCTAGACCAAGGGAAAGAATTGTGCTGTAAGCTTGGACATAGCGAAGGCCTTCGATCGGGTGTGGCATAAGGCGCTTCTTTCAAAGCTCCCTTCCTATGGGCTGCCAGAGAAATTAAGTAACTTTGTTACCAGTTCGTTTGCCCAATATTCTATTTAAAAGAACAGTTTGTGGGTCACAAAGTGTTGTCCCATGTGGGGGATCGAACCCACAACACTCAGTGCAGCGAGTAAGCGGCAAGGTGATCGCTAAAAACTACTACACCATCCGTGCTGTCCAGTCAATTGTCTAACAATATGTCATTTAAATGAATTTCTTTAGATGTTTAAAATGCGAGGGCTAAGCGGCCGTCGAGCAGTACGTCCGGCACGTGCTTATAAAGTGTCATAATAATAATACATTGAATTAATCACTCCACACGATACCACATTTTGCACGTTGCCAGTGCACGAAAAGTTTGTAAAGAACACTTGCGTGTCAAACTTTTTTAGAACAGATGAATGAAAATGAAAAAAGGACTCATTATTATCATCTCTTTTAAAATCCAGATATCTTCTTTACTAACTTCTGTAACTTAACTTCTGAGTTCTTATGCACCTAATGAGTAGATAGGTAGTAGGTAGGTAGTCTGCTCGAAGATTATAAAATGTAATTATTTTACGTTCGATGAGAAGCTTTAGTGTTGACAATAAAAAACACAGTTGTTTTCTACTTTCGACAAAGCTAAAATAATTTAGTAAATAAGAGGTGAATTTCTACGACAACTGGATATAAAATACGGCTGGCTACAAAATAACATAATGTAGGTAGTTTGAAAATTGTCGTTGAGTTTTACTTTAACGATTTTAATCCATATATATATATAAACGTAATGTTGGTTTTTGTACGCTTCAAAAATTCAAAAAGTTTGCATCGATTGAGCTCAAATTTAGACACGATGTACAAACCGCTTCAAAGATAGTTTTTATCAATTTTTCGCGTCAGTTTTGGCTCTCGTTTCTCATCAATGCAAGTACAAAATGCCACAGCAAAGCGTGGCAGAATGCAGCTGGTTTATTATATAATCATCTAATTAAAATTTAAGTCAACGACAGCGTTCACTATAAATATACTCATTTGGTTTGACAGTCCTCAGAGCATAGTAAATTTATTTATCTTTGCATCACATCCAGCCCCAGATCTGCGGAGGCGAACCGGGGTACCGCCTCGGGTGGCAGTTTCATGGGGCGCCAAAATCATAAAATAGTATGATTAAAATTAAAAAACTTGCTCCACAAAGTGCCTAGCATATGGAAGCCTGGTTGGCTCACAGTCGACTAGTAAGAAAAACCACACAGGCCCACATTACTAGTGAACTTATATATTTGTGAGGTTTTTTAAGTAATTTATCTCAAACGCTGGAGAGAGGGGCGCCACTATCAAGTTTCTACCTCGGTTTGAAAAAATCGTAGATCCGGGGCTGATCACAATTTAAAACTTTCAGCTATAATAGTATCTATCTTATTAAAACTTTTTAAAGTAAAAGTTCTTATCTTTGCCACGGTTGCTTGCTACGTTATACATTTAGACAACTTACCATATAGTTATATTCAAGTATAAAAAGCGCCTCAATAGCTTGAAATTCCTAGACTTGGTATATTGTAAGTTCTGTATAAATAATTTATTAAAAATAATTTTAAACTTTTAAACAGACACGAGTCCACCGATTCCTCAGAAAACTTCGACCAACACAGAATAATACCCTGCAAGCAACGCAGGGGTAACTTTCTGCAGGTAATTTTATCTTACCATATTGCTGCCTAATAATTGCCTTCATTATCCAACTAAACCGGTAGTACATCTGACCCAGCTAACCTTAGAACTATCTCAGTACTACCAGTATTTAACAAAAATTTTGAAAAAAATATGTATGGTTAATTGCAAAGTGTTTTTAATAATATTAATTTATTACACAATAGACAATTTGGTTTGGAGGGGACGCTCCACAACTGATGCCAGTCAGTTGTGGAGCGTCCCCTTCTAAGACATATATTTGGCTATAGTTGAGCTAGTAAAACATATATTAGATGCCTGGGAGGATGCCCACGATCCTCTAGGTATCTTTTGCGATTTCTCTAAAGCTAAATTGTGTTGTTCGTGAAACGCTGATCAGGAAATTATAGCGCTATGGTATCAAAAACAAAGCACTGGAACTTCTTGCTTCATATCTGGATAATAGGACTCAGAAAGTTGATATTAATGGTGGGCGGGTTCTATTCTCGGCCCTTTCCTGTTTTTAGTATATATTAACGACCAACCTCACCTTGTCAAGGACAATCTCGAGATTGTGATATCAGATACATCACTACTATTTAGACTAAAAGGGATTGTGGATACTACGGCATTTTTAGGAATAACACTAGATTGTAAGCTACAGTGGGGCCCACATATTGATAAATTATCGAGTAGACTCAGCTACGTAGTAAGAAAAATTCGAGAGTTGACTGACGTTGATGCAGCATGCTTGTCTTGCTCTTCTCTTAAGTGGAGTCTCTTAAGTGGAAATGTGATGTGAGTTAGGTTGTTTTTTATTGTTATTATTTTCTATTTTTTATGTTTCACTTCACTTTCTCTTTTATTTGATATTTTTTCCTAATCTTATTTTTCTCTTTATTGTCTTTTTACCTTTTAGTCCTTAATAACGGACATACTGGCACGCGTCAGAACAATGTTGTTATATATTTAATGATGCCATTGCATTTATCTTTAAATCGCAAAAGAGTGGCCATGACTTTGTTTGCCCTTTCTTCTCATAACGAGTTCTCAATATTTAATCCATTAATATTTTGACTTCATCTTTATTAATTTTTACTTAATTTAATTTAGAATACTGACAGCTTAAATAATGTAAAGTAAATATTATATTTTTGCAGCTTTATTTAAGAATCGATTTCAATCATTTTTAAATCTCTATAAAAAGCCTTCCGTCTATTAAATTGTTATAAAAAGTTTTCTTCACAATAGAAACTTCTATATGCCAAAAGCGAAAATTCTTGTTAGATGTTATCGACTATCGGAACAGGATATGGATCGGCATATCATGGATTTTGTATAAGTATAATTTTTATTAAATTTATTTTCTAAATTATTTGACAAAACAGAGATTGATGCTATTATGTTTGTGTTGATCTACGACTTTGAGTCTACATAAAATACGATTTCAAATAGTTTGAAAAATAATTTATGATAGGTATATTAAAGATAATTTGAAATTTGAATGTAACTAGTTTTGGACCTACTCTACTACTAATAACATGCGTGCTATTAAATAAATCTTTAATTTTTTACAGTAACGTGAAAATAGTAGGCAGTATTTGTCTTTACAACCAGTGCTGTTGCGGCTCACATCCAGGTACACATTTCTGTAACTGCGAATTCATACTCTTAGTAATATAGAACACTGGAGAGATTTTTCATGGCATAGGATGCAAGCTATCAGCCGGGTCACCTGATGGGAAATGTCTATTGCCTTCCATGAGCGCCCCCCAGTATTGGGGAAAGGATTGAGCAAACAAAACAAAAAAAAAATCTTAACACCAGTTTTCTGTTAGACAGGCCCATTTGAGCCGTTCAGATTTAAATTTAATGCTCTCCTTAAATATTATTAGTCGTTTAATTAGAACATTTGTTTGCAGCCTTAAGGGTGATTTTGGGTATAAGGAAAAATCAAACACTCACCACAATCAGGCGAGTACCAAAGCAGCATGAGTTTTTCGACTAGTTTTTAAGGTGTAAAATAAACTGAATTCAAATGTCTTTGAGATGTGTACCTTATTTGTATGTGTATTTAACCAATTAGAAAAAAAAAACTAATACTGCAGGGAATATAATACTCGTAAAACAAATCTCAATAATATTTGAAAATAATAACCGATTCTCCTTAAAAGCTTTGCAAGAATATAGTACACATATTGAATATAAATAAATAATAATACTTAATACTTATCTTTTTTATATAAAATTTAAGTGGTCGAAATTCAACCAAACGTTACAAATATCTTAGAATGTTATTTTGAAGCCATCATAAATTAAAAAACAGAATAATGAAAGAGTCCTTTGTCATAAAAAAATCAAATAGGTATTCTATTTAATTTTGTATTTTATGTCTTTTAACACATGTCATGTAAATGTTATATCAAATAAGACAATGCAAAAACATACTTTAACTTAAATATTTGTTTATTAAATCTTTAATAAAATTTGCTTAATATCTTTAGGTGCATGTCAAAAGTTATGTCAAAAAAGGGGCTTTCAAAACTTGTTGGTTTAGCGATTCATAAGTGGGTTGTTACAATGTTTAATGACTTAATTGAATGTTCCTTTTTTAAATTAGCATTTAAATGTTTATAAAGATTTTTATTACGTTTTTTTTTATATTTAGTTTACAAGTGGTGTACAATAAAGAGTAGGAATTTACTTTTCTTGAATAAACATTTTTTTTGTACATATAACAGTGGTGTTATTTCTAAGATTTTAGGCAAATCACGTTTATTTCAATGGAAAGATCATTGACCATTTTCCTGTATTTTGTTTAATTTTATTTAGGGTTGACGCAACGTGTAATGTTACAAATGGCTCCAAAGGGCTTGTAGGGCTACTATGTATAGCTTTCCTTTTCGTCTATATTCTATCGTACCGTCTACTTTCTTCGTGTTATACAACTATTGTAAATTCTTTTGACTCCGTGTTTTCTTTCGACGCCTGCATCCTTCTGTCGAGTCTATTGAAATAGCAGCTGAACGAAAATCCGCTCAACGGCTAGCTATACTACTATACAGAGTGCCACCACGTCTCAAAACATTTTTGAATTATACTATACAAAGTCAAGCATATTGATATACACAAATAAGAAACATTACTTTATACACTTTGGGTTATAGCAATGTAATGAAATTAAAAACATAGATTCGTAATTTTTTTATAGTTTTTTGGCAAATAGACTAAAACTAATTTCCTCTTTGTAAGCTTACGATGTACATGGTACGACAAAATTTCTTCTTTTATAACCGAGAGAGGAGGAACTTTCTCTTTTCATCAATTAAATGATGTACAATATTTTTGACAAAGAAATTAAAAATTCTACCATTAGTAGATTATTTTATATTGGTAGAATTTAGAATTGTGATGTAGTCGCATGTAATGCGGTCAGTGACTCACGCTTCTTTGACATATATTTTTATTTTATTTTCAAATAATTCAGTATTATTCACATTTAAAGCAGTTTGTTAATTTAATTTGTATTTATTTTATAATGTTCCTTTTATGATATAAGAGAATTACGTGTTTTAAAGCAATTAGTGTTCATAAGTGTGTGTTTATTTTACATTATACACAAAACAAAAGGTTACTATGGCCGAAAAGGTAAGTTTAGCATATTTCTTGAGCATACAATATTATTCCATGATAGCATAGCAATATTCGAAGATTTATATATAAGCAAAGACTCGTTACAATAACATAATATTTGTGATATTTGCGATGACCCATAAGTTTATGGTATTGTTTTTTTACGTGTTTTTTGTAGAAACTCTACAGATGTCTATCTAGAAAAAAATAACACCTGTCTTGTCTCTGTTATCTACGGTTTCACTTTGGCATGTAAGATAAAATTGAAAGTGTGTATTTTCCTAAATTAATTCATAAAAAACGTATTAGATGTAGTAAATTGCGGGTGTAAATTAAATATTGAGAAATGTGATGAAATTTTAGTTTACTTAACAATTTAATTCAATAATAATAAGAAAAATGGCTAGATTAGATGAGGTAAGACAATAAAACAGATATTGAAGTACTAAAATTATAGTAACCAGATATTTTCACTGTAATATGTGTTTTTTGAAATTCTTTTAAAACTTATGTAAATGGTTTTATTAAAACAAATAGAAAATTCAAGAGAAACCACTTCCCGGAGAAGCTCCTGCGGAAATACCAGTGGAAACGGATGATAAAGCCAAGGAAATGCCTCCAAAGCCTACGACTGCACCTGACAAGACGACAGCCACAGTAACATTACCAGTGGCCTCTCCCACACCAGTTTTGCCAAGAATCTCAGTACCCATGTTCACAAAGACGTCTCCAAATGACCTGTATAGGAGATTGTTGCCAGCGATGTTGTTTGTGTTGACGTTTGTTACGGTTATGACAATGCTGCTCATTTATATGGACACTGTTGGTGAGTGCATCCATTGTTCTGTTACATTACCAATTTGTTTTATTACATTACATTTACTGATCCTGACTGCTAAGTCAAGGTTTAGATTCCCACCAATATAATAAAGAAATATTGTATAATGATTATTTGTTCTGTGCTTAGGTGTAGTTTATATTTAATATGTACGTATTTAGAAATATACACGATATAGGTACACCTATCTTAAACTAAAAAAACATTTTGAAGTGGATTGAAGTGTGAATCAAAACCATTCTCTAATCCAATTGAACACACAAATGTTTTTATCAAAAACGGTTCAGCCGTTTAGGAAGAGTTCTCAAGAGTCCACAAGAATTGTATATTATACAAATATATATGACTTAAGATGGTCCTTTATGTGTAGAGGACAGGTTGGCTAGACGAGCCAACCAAGCTCCTTCCAGAAGCGTAGAAGCCTTCTGGGGTGTTCACAGGCTTCTAGGAGCAAAAATAAAAGTATCAGCAATGATACTTGCCTGTTGTGTGGCCACACTCTCCCATTCCAGGATTATGTAAGCAGCCGTTTCTACTGCATTCAGACATCCTCTGCAAAAAGGCCTGTCCGTTGTATTAATGGTGAATAGTGATCGGTTCAGGGCTAGGTTGTTATGGTTCCTACAACTATTTGGATATCTCGTCCACTAAGACTGATCAGTCTGCATGTTAGTCGTGGTGAGACACTGATGAAAGTGGATACATTATAAAACTTTTATTCATTCTATTACCTAATCTTTCAAATGCAATAGGTCCCCGTGACGCTCGAGTAAATCCACATTTAGCATCATGGGCTCACTATGACTGACGTGGATATAAAAATGAATGATGATGTTTTGGCTGTCGCCAGCGCTGGGCGCACAGAAGTTCCGCGCGAACATGTCCCGCGACTACGAGCTGGCCAGCATCGCGCAGGGCTCGGCCGCGCTCGTGGCCTTCGTGCAGCAGCTGCACCTCGCGCCGCCGCTCGCCGCGCCCGCCGCGCTGCCGCCGCCGCAGCCCACGCCGCAGGTCGCGCTCTTCGACCAGCTCTACGGGGAGATCGTGAGTGCAATACCTACTCCTTTCTATGATTACCGTTTCTTGTAATTACAACAGCTAGTTACGCATTAACCGAAATAAGAAACCCCCGTCGGGCCATCACCCTACTGGAGGTTTCTGTAAGTGTTCCGACCGTTTCCCTTCGGAGGGAACGGCTGTTATTAAGATAGCCGAAACCCTCCTAGCGCCTGCCCGATGATGATGCTGCTGATCTGCTTCTGTTCTTGCCACTGTGGAGTAACGGGTGTCATGTTTCTCCATCACAAAGGGAGGATCCTCTGTCCAGGCAAGGTGATGCCTGGCGGAGCGCAAGTTGTATATATGTGGATCTATGTGAAAACTTTTCATTTTGCGATGCATTATTAGCAGTTACTCCATAGTTCGGTGTGTTTTCCTTACATAGCACTAAAGACTAAGTAAAGTCTTTTTGTTTAATTGCATGTGAAAGTCGCCATGAAATATTTCCCTTTACTCTAATATATTTTATTTGTGTTGTTATCATAGTACAATGGCACATTTGTCGAGTTCCTGCCCCGCGGTCCTCGCGACCAAACCAGCATGTACTTTGAACGCGCTCGGCAGTGGGACGGAGTGGTGGTCAGAGCTGCGGCCAGGGATTATCTAGCGTTGAAAGGAAACGCCAGGGCCCTGCACGCGTGCCTAAGTCCTACTGCTCATCCTAGAGAGGTATGTTTACCCAGTAATTTTACATTAGTAAAAAGTCTGAAAAGTTACTTGAGAAACAACTCCCTCTTCCATAACTGTAGGGAGGGGGAGGGAACACAAAAGGCAATCAACGGACTTGAAGTTACTTACCAATAGGTGACCGGTCTATTTATTTGATGAAACAAAAGACATTGTTATTTATTTAATTTAAAGAAAAACTGTTACCGGTCATATTTTTAATCAAATGAATGTCCCTATATGTCATTATCAGTCTGTTTTATTCAAGTTTGTCCATCTGTAAGTTGCACAATTTTGTCAGTACAACTTTATTTTGTTATTTATTGTTGTAATCATTTGATGTTTGACAGGGCAACTTACTGTGGCCGTAATATTTGGTGTTGATCTATCATTTTAATTAAAATATGCCATGTCTTCAGTCTATTAAAAGCATTATAAAATGGTTTTTTTAATTGACTCGACTTCAATCCGACGGTGACGTCGTGCAGGTGACGTACCAGGAGACGGAGAGCGCGGAGTCGGTGTTCAGGTCGCGCGTGCTGTGCCTGCCGCTGCTCACGGTGCTGCTGGCGGCCGACGCGGCGCGCGCGCGCTACGTGCTGCTGGGGGGGGGCAACGCCCTGCCCGCGCTCACGCACCTGCCCTTCGACGACCCCAGGGTGCACCTACAGGTCACTTTACCTCATACTTCAACTAACAACTTATAACATAATACTCAAATATTACCTACTCAGATATTCCCTATACAGACAAATTTTTCGTTGCCTAGTTATGAACTAGATCCTATTTATGCATTCTAAGATCACTCTAAAGCGTTTGATTTCGTCAATCGTAACGTAAGCAGTTATAACGATGTCCCGAGCGGATTTAATCTAGTTGCATACTACTTTAGTGGTTATCTGATTAAGGACTGTCATAACCTAATAACACAATACGTTAATATTGATACAGTTAGATCACTTAGAAAAATCTCTCTGGGTGTGCCACAAGGATCTAATTTGGGGCCCGTCCGTTGTTAGTTGTTTCTTCAATTAACCAAATTAACATGAGATAGATATATCATTGCTACAAGTTATAGACAAAGGTTGCACCTGAAAATGAAAAATGTTTATTTCGGTAACTGTTGTTTACATATTCATCAAAATCGCTCGGCTCCTATTGAAAAACTTGTATCAACAAGCTGTGCTGTTCTATAACATTTTGCTTTTCGCAGTTACAGTTATTAGTACAAGCAGCTAATGTAAACTTATAAATTATTTTAAACTTTTGTTCGATTCTATAGATTTCTGATTTTTCGAATTTATTTACAATAAATCAGAAATCTGTACTGTAATTCTGTTAAATTTGAAATTGCATTTATTATCCACAGGTAATCGAAGTGCAGTTCACAAACGCAAGCATCCGGAACCAAACGAGCCAATTCCTCCAGTCCAAGAACTACACCATCGCGGCCACCTTCGACAACAGCGTTATGTACGCACTCGCCAAGGGACTGTGAGGGGGAGAGTGGAGGGGATGAATGGGGCCCATGACGGTAGGTGGCGTTAGTGTACCGTTGGTTAGTCATTGTCTATGGTTTTATTTTATTGATGTCCCAGTGTCGGTCTCTGTACGTGAACGTGGCAACGTCAAATAATTTATTTAGTGAGGTTTATCTTTGTTTAAAAATTTGGTGATTTTTAAATTAAACATTTAATATTTAACAAGTTACTTCCAACAATAATTACATTATAAAATTGCACACACAATAAGAATAGTGAATTATTATAGTTAAGAGATATTTTTGATTAAATTAAATTATTTTGTATACCGGTAAACTGGCGCCATCTATTGTCTTAACAGTGGATCGGAGCACAAACGAAACAAAAACATTAATCCTAATTGAATGAATAAAAATAAGATTAATTTTAAATAATCTCAGTGAATATAACGTTCATTATTAATTTAATGTGATTTAATTAAGTTATAATAATTTTAAGTGATTTTAATCTGATTAAATTATTGATTTTGAATTAGTACTGATTATGTAATGACAAAAAAATTCATAATATGCCATACTAACAGTGTAGTATGTTTATGTATTTCGTCTCGATTTATTTTTAAGATTTAATTGATTTGGTTTAGCGTATCTAAATTATTGTGATCAATGTACGTATATCTGGCAAACCAAAAGTCTATTGTCCGTGGTCACCATAGACAACATCACAATAATTATCTATTGCATATATCTATACTTGGAAAATGCCTTTACAATACAGAACTCATTGAAAAGAGAATTTATTGCCACATTGGTGCTAATTCTATTGTTCGAAAACTCTCTAAACTAAACTAAAAATCACTATGAATGTTTAGTCCTGTCAAATAAAGTTTCGTATTCCGAAAACGTAGTACTTGACAGGACTAAACAAATTTTAAGTGAGTTGTGTTAGTGTTAGTGTTAATTAGCACCATTGTTGAATATTTCCAATTAATGTGATAAAATTATGTTATTACAAGTGGCATATACACATTACACCAAATAGCACATAAATTGTAACGGCTACATCACCTGACTTGTGATCAAGTAGTGGATGATTCAAATTCTAAACAGTTCACTACCAAAATGAACCTATTCCAGCACAAAGCACGAGGGGTTTAAAATAATACTACCAGTAATACATGATACAAGTAATTAAGCAGCGCACAGCACGGATGGCGTAGTGGTTTAAGCGGTCTACGCTGTGTGTTGTGGGTTCGATCGCCACAAGGGACAACACTTCGTGTGATCCACAAATTGTTGTTCTTCGTGTCAGTTTCATGTATATTTGTAAAGTTCCCAGCCACACAAGATATATTCTTGGTGCGGGTTGCCTTTAAAAAAGAAATTATAATGATCTGTTTTTGTAAAAGAATCTATATCAGCTTATGGTGACCACAATCACTGTGTAATATAGACCGTGTTGTGCAGAAAGGACCTTATCTACAAACAGTCCAAAATTGAAGTATTGATGTTAACTTACTAAAAACATCTTTATATTTTTATTTATTAAAGATTTACTTGGGCTTTCAATACACGGGTGTATTATGGGGTTGCTCTACTATTTTGAAAGACAAAACAAAACGATAATAGTCCCAAAAAAAAGAACTCGTGGAAGAAGCGGTTTTACCCCTTGTAAAGGGGCCCCTGTCGGTACTCATCTCGTCATGTTATATAGCCTTATAGCCTTCCTCGATAAATTATCCAACACTAAAATAATATTTCAATTCGAACCAGTAGTTCCTGAGGTTAGCATATTCAACCAAACAATTTCTTCAGCTTTACAATATTAGTATAGACTAGCTGAGACCCGCGGTGTTACCCGCGTTTGTTGTTATATCGGCGGGCAACGCCGCGGGGCGAAGCTAGTCTAAAAAAAGTAGCCTTAGTTACTCCTTATGTCATCAGCTATCTGACAGTGAAAGTCCCGTCGAAATAGGTCCAGCCGTTCCAGAGATTATCCGGAACAAACAGACAGACAGACAAAAATTGAAAAAAATGTTATTTTGGCATATGTACCGTGTAAACATACATATGCATTTAGTAAAAAGCGGTTATTTTAATATTACAAACACTCCAATTATATTTATTTGTATAGATTTGATTAGATCATTTCTGCACAACACATACGATATCATTGGAAATATCCGAAATATTATTATTAATTGTGTATTGTTTCACAGTAAAAAGTGCCTTAAACATACCGTTGATAACTCGAGACCTACATAATGCTGTCGAAGCGTTATTTTGTTATTCGCACTGTTTTATCCACACATTACTTAGAAGATTAGAATGTCGTGGGTATTGTGTTGTTTTGATACAAGTTGATATGTATAATTACATTTGTAATTGAAGGTATCAATAAACACGACTGCTGTGTTGTGGGTTTGATTCTAGGGGAAGGTCAATTTGTATCAAAATTGCGTATAAAAATGAGGTGTGTGGACTTAATATTGAAGTTATACATGTATTTATAGTTGTTCTGGTAAACCAAACTTGTTTTTTAGACCCACGCTAAAAGAAAGTAATAAAAAAACGTTTTGATAATTCTGAGTAACTATTAACTTAATATCCTCAGCCGTTGACTTAATTACCTTGCAAGTAGGAAGATCCTCCCTTTTTGTTGAAAGGACCCAATACCCGTCAGTTGTGACCCCACGTACGGACCCCGTATTTTCATAGAAGCTATAAAATCATGACAACCAAACAGAAATTTCCATTAAATACATTTATAAGTTCAGTTTTATGTCCATTCGTAGGAGATAATTGTAGGTAGGTCATTAAATGGTTTTGCTGAACGGTTGTTGCTTAGACATGCTAGTACACCGCACCGAACATTAGATAGGACTATACAAAGGTGTAGCTTTGACTTATTATGGTGTTTAGAATGCGACTGTGTCAGACGTAACATTAAAACCCACGATTTTTTCCGCCTTAATAGAGTTTTTTTTTTACTTTTTGCTTTCCTTTCCACGTAATTTTCAAAAAATTGTTACCACTATGTGACGACACCATTCTAACATTCTGTTGTATACGTTAGAAAAAAATACTTGAAATAACTTACATTATAATAAGTCAATGAAACATGAAAATAACTCACAAATTCTGAGCGTTTTATAATTTTTTTTTACTCAGATTTTTTTATTTATATACTTATATGTTTGCTTTAAATATCGGTTAATTTCAGTTGTAATTCCCTCCAGTGTATGGTAACTAATTAATATTATAATCACCAGAGAAAATGTTGCTCTCGAATGATAAAGATCTGATTTTTAATATATTTAGTGTTGTAATCATAATTATGTAGAAATTCATAATATAACTGCACCAACATGATTTAAGAACAGAACAGGACAATGGGAGGTCCTCAACTCTGTACGGTAGATGGAATAAATATACTTTCTATCGTTCATCATCATCAACACCCTTTAGTAGTCCACTGCTGGACATAGGTCTCTCCTTAGAAAGGAGGTTTTGGCCAACTATACCACGCTGGCCAGACGGGTTGGTATAAGGTTTGTGTCAAGATTTTTTTCTCCTTGCAGTTTTGTAAAAAACATCCTTCGACCTTATACAAAAGAAGACTTGGATAAGTGATACAGAATGCAGCAGGGGGACAGTATATCTGTCACCCTTTTATCACTATCACTTATCACACTCTTTCGTAAAACATGGAATGCTTAATTTTAGGTGGTCAGCTCAAAATGCATTTGTAATTTCGAAAATAATAAATTTAAATATTAAAATAACTCTGTTATTTTAACTAAACAGAAAAAATATCAAATTTCAAGAAAACTATATTAGACATGTTTGGTGCAGTTATGAAATTTTATATGTATTCATCATGTCAAGTGTTAAATATCATTTTTAATGTTTTGTTCTAAACGTGATCGTACTACGTACATGATGTATGTGTCGTCATGATGATTCACCTGACGGGTGTGATTGCGCCTCAACCTCCACATATTTATATTAACAACATAAAAGTTTTAATTAAATTTAAATTGTAATTACCCCTCGAATGACAATAATAAATAATTTGGGAAACCAAAAAAAAAATACATTATCTTTGTGTTATTATGGAGTGTACGTGAGTCCTACACCCGTTATCGCAAACTGGGTGTAGGTAGGTGTTTGTTTTATGCATCTTCACTTTGTAACGTGTTGTCATTCCGAGGGCTAGCGGTGTCGTAAGCCGCACCATTCCATTGATATAATTAATTCCATTTTTTTTAATTTTAATTATATATAAGACTGATAATATTTAATATTTTTTTAAGCTCATAAAATATTTATTTTGTGAATTAAGTAATTTCAATGAATTATATTACAATTGTAACTAAGTGAATTGCATTAATTGGATTAATTTTAGCGACGAAGATGTTAATTTTAAGTATATTTTTGTTTAGGCTTAGTTTAAATGCGCTCAATTTTTCACGAATAAAATGTAATGGCTTTAAATACTTGTTGTTTTATTTATTTCTGGAAGCCGGACCTTTATTGAGATATATGAGTCAAAGTTTCCAAGATTCTAAACTTTGAATACACTGTTACATCACGGAAAGACTCATCGTACTTAATCTTGAATCTTCTCGAGTGCATAATTCGCAAGGAGTACTCTTTTGATCCCTTTAATACCAAAAGCAATGTTGTCCGCAGTATGCTAAACCTTAAATTTTTCCAATAGTAACATTTTAGATCGATTGTCATTTATTGTATAGGTGTAGTGTGGTGTTACTTGGTGATCCAGAACCTCTGTTAAATTACAATGATTCTATTCGTGAAAACCTGTAATTGGCTTGATGTAGTATATCAATCTGACCATTTCATTTTTGTAGCTGTTGGTTTTCCTAACTGAAGTAAATAAATAAATAAACGATCAATATCAATAAAAGATCAATATTTAGAGGTATATATTTATAGGAACAAGGGGCCAAGTTTAATTAACATCAACTCTCTTCATTCCATTCTATAGTTCTTTG